ACGTGATCATCGCCCCGCGGTGATCATTACCTTCTGACGTGGACGTCCATAGGCCTTCAGCCATCTCGTCACTTGTCAAGGAGAGAATCCTTCTTGTTACTTGTAACAAAAGACTATATATTTATGTGCATCTCCGTCCCTCTCCATCATAGAGAGAATAAATAAAAAAGTGATAAAGGAAAGTAAAACACATCTTAGCGTTATTATGATAAACACATAGAATTAACCTTGTTTAAAGGTCTATACTACAAATCCACACTCTTCTAGACCCGACGCCTACACCAACCATAGTCCCACTCACAGACGAGTGCGATGGTCGATACTCTGACGGTACCTATAGCATGTTGTTGCCAGTATGCTGAATCCATATACCGTCTAAGCTAAAGCCAGTGCCTATATACAAGGGGCGCGCAGGTTCTGTGATATCTATCCTGATGGAAGTCCCTAAGCTCTGAATATTAATAGTGCCTATTTCGGTATAGAGGTAAAAGCCAGCGGGATCAAAGGATAAACTGCGGAGCGATTTGCCAACGTCGGGCGTTTACAGACACGCGCCGCTGGTCGCATCCCAGATCTTGACGGTGCTGTCGTGGGACGCCGACGCCAGCCGCGTCGAGTCGGGCGAGAAGGCCACTAAGGTGAGATAACTGCTATGGCCCTCGAGCGTCTGTAGACACGCGCCGCTGGCCGCATCCCAGATCTTGACGGTGCTGTCCCAAGACGCCGACGCCAGCTGCGTCGAGTCGGGCGAGAAGGCCACTGAGCTGACCTCACCGCTATGCCCCTCGAGCGTCTGTAGACACGCGCTCCACTCCTCGCTTAGAGTTGGCCTGATACTGATTGCTTTTAGCTCTTTATACTAAAATAGCTTTCTAATTAGACTACCTATCGGGCTAAATATAAGTGCAGATATATAGGTCTAAAGAGGGTAGCCCTTAATTGCTCCTTTGTGGTACATAATAAACCGCCGTGTATCTTGCATAAGCTGAGTAAGTCTCTCTTGTTCACACATCTCCTACTAGCGTTAGCATTAAGGCTAAAATAAAGATATGTATATCTTGTGCGACCCACCTGCGCTAGTGGCTATAACTTCTCTATCGAGAGGACGCCTTTCTCTATGCTCTTACATAAACTAAGCCCCTCTAGCTAGTAGAGATACTTCTCTCTAAGAAACTCTTCGACCGCGCTAGGAACTTCCACGTTATCTACCCTATTTTCTAAAGATACAGGCTTTGAGTCGCACAGATGATCGATCTAGTAGATGCACGGGTACCGTGATACTACTAATGGGTCTACCCTAGGTAGTTTGACGTCCTTAATAGGATATCCTGGCGCTTCTAAGCTATACATGTCTCTATGCAATGTCCTAGATAGAATCGCCAGCGACCTTAAGAGGATTGTCCGATAAACGATTTCGCTTCCGTCTAGAAAGGCTTTATTATAAGCCTTTTTAAAGAGGAAGTCCTTTGCCGACTAATGTATAAAGTAGACTATGTCTTCTCGCAAGGTAAGAAACGACCCGTAGAAGCCGATAACCTCCTGTACCGACTCTAGGTCGTCCAAGTCCTCAAGCTGCTCCACGAGCGCAACGAGTTCAGGGACCGAAATAGGTCGATATAGGATCGCAGTCGAAGCCAGCACCCGCAGGCAGATCTCGGCGTCGTCGCTCTCGCTCATCTGCTGCATCATCCGCGTGTATAAAGCGTCTAGCCCAGGCGGGAATAAAGCTAGCTTCTTCAGCACATGCCGATTCGCCGTCCTCTTAAGTTCTTAGCATACTAACGCCACCTAGAGGAAAGTACTGTTCGCGTTTGAACTTAAGTGCTAGAGCATATCTTGTTGGAGTTTCTCTTTATACTGCTTCTCCCGCGCTAGCTGATCTACCTTTCGCTGAATGAAGACGTTAACCGCAGCAGCGACCGACTACGCGTTTAGCTCAAGGCTCAGCTTGACTTTATGTCCTGCCCGCTCCAGCTGTGCTTCAATGTCTGGCCAATTACGGCTAGAAACAATCCACTTGACGGGAGAAGACGATGACTGCTTCGCGAAAAATTCTAGCAGCTTTGGCAGATTAGTAACGCATTCATCTAGCGCGTCGACGATTAGGTGTATCATCCTTAGGCTTAGATCTTGGAGCATAGCCTCGAAGATCTCTGTTAAGACTACCTAGGCGTTCGCGTCTTCGAAGATAGCTTTGCCAGCGTGGTCGTACTTCTTGCGGACATGCGATGTAAGCGATAGTTACTAAGTTAGAAGTATATATAACAGCCCTCGAAGCACGGCTATGGCGCTATTAATGCGCGCGTCGGTCGCTTGGTAGAAGAAGTATGACAGTAGGGCACTTTGGGGCATTGAACCCTGCAGCTCGTTGATGATGCCGCACAGTAGTATCGTCTTGCCTTTACCGGGATCGCCTTTTACCTATAACAGTCGACTGTTCGGCTTCTGCTGCTATTGCTAGAAAGCGGGATTGTCTAGAACCTAGCGGTAGAAGTCTGCTAGCAGTCCGCCCTTTATATCCTCAATGCGCTTCTTGTCATCACACGGATCTGTGTTGCGTATGTCTTAGATGCATATCTAGAGCTTATCGATCTCGTCCTTTAGACGTCTAAATGCGTTAGCTACCCCTTCGCTGTAAGCTGGCGCTATCTCGACATCAAAAATGCCTAACAATGAGTACCATGCGTCTTCTTCGCGTTTAGTCTGCCTGTCGCCTTTCCAGCGCAGACGCTCGTTAACGCTGAACCAGGAAAGAGGAGTTCCGTCGAGCGCTTCGCATGGAATACCGGTGATCTTCTTAATTAATAACCTTAGCGATATCTTGTCACCAAGCCTCTCCCACTCTTGAGAGAAAAACTCTACCACGTTTGGTGCGAGGAGCTCTTGAAGTGTCCAGCCGCGCGTGAACCATCGACTTGACCTGAAGGCTGACTCCTAAGTGCACTGGGTAAGTATATCATCAAATTTCCTCTTCTTTGTTGACACGTCTGATAGGTATACGTAGCACTTGGTCGCATTTTGGTACCAGCGAAACATGGACTGGATCGACAAAGAGAGCTCAGCTTGATCCAACTTGTCAATGCAACAGGTATCAACCCAGAAGTACTGTAGTCCATCTTGCTGTGCTTGCTCTCCACAGAAGCGGATCTTCTTATAGCTAGGCTTATGCATGCCGCCGCCTTCTGCAAGATCCGCAAAAGTCACCTCCTCTGCATCTGCTCCCCAGGTGTGTGAAAGTATCGCATATTAGGGTATCGCGTTATCGTCGAAGCTGGTGATAGTAAGGCGGCCATCTTCGTCGTACCTTAGAAGACGCATCGACTGGTATGGGTGTGTGGTGGGCACGCGGTGGAAACGAGACGCGAGAGGTTCGATGTGGCAGCCTAGTAGGACGAGGGCGTGATGGCCGTGCCGTGTGCTGTAGAGGTCGGCGTAAGAGGGCAATGGATAGCCGTGCAGCTTTAGATCTATCGACAATAGAACAGCCTTCTCAAATGCGCGAGCTGAATCGAGCGCGCTGTGTTGTTTTCTTAGTCTGGTGACGGCATCGCACGAGGCCTTGGGAGGAGTAGTTGTTGCTTCATACGCATGTAGAACGCCTGCCACAAGGCTGCAGCGTAGCTTCGGCCATGCCAAACGCGTCTTTAGCCTTGCGAGCTTAACAGGGTAGCAAAGACCCGAAGCGCATTGATGTTGCCTAGCCTAAACCAATACAGGCCGGAAAAGGTGAACCCAAGCGCTATACCGTGCGAGCTGGCGGCTAAGTAATTACACAAATCACCGAATGACGCACGTTCGTTTTTTAACCGTCTGCACTGCATCTGTCTCGACTATTATCTTTTATTCTATGCTATCCACATAACGCCCAGTTCAGCATACAAACAACTACAATAGATGCGAAGCCTAAGTGCGTTCTCTAGTACATGCGTGCCACAGGGACCCTTGGTGACAGTACCGAGGCCCGCGTTGGCGCCAGTCCTTCACTCGCTCGCGCTATTTTTCGCTTTGGCTCTATTGCGTCTGTATCTGACGACGCTTTAGTTCGCTTTCGACCCCGTTTCCCCTTAGCTTTAGTCGCCTTAGCAGCCTCCGTTTTAGCACGCTTCGCACGCGCATATCGGAGCTCCTCGTAGCCTATGACCTTGGCCGTTCCTAATACTAGTGACTTTATTAATCGTCGCACTTTAGCTTCGTTATTGACCTTTAGTAGGAGTTGGATGTGGTTCTGCTGAAGGGCTCCTCTGGCGAAAGATAGGTGAGCGGCTTTAGAGAACTTGAGAAGGTGTCTCTGTAGGCTTTGTTTGCTCTTCTCGTCGAGAGCACGGGCATCCTGCTCGATAATCAGATTCTGCAGGGACATCAGACCTTCAGCTGACACTGGTGTCACGGGGGTTAGGGGAATTTGCTCTGGGGAACTTGGCCCAACAATAGCTTTATTGGCTGTCGATGCGGTAAAGGGGCCTATAGCTGGTTTAGGCATAGAGTTAAGTACTCTATCTAGGTTAAACGGAAACAAGCTACTTACCGCAAAGCCTACCTTGATGTTCTTAGCTATAAATGCTTTTACTCGCGCAGGGCTAAACAGAGAAGTAAAATGCTCCTTACTAATTATATTAACGCCTCCCTGCTCTAGTCGTTCGACCTGTTCGCGATAGGCTGCCTTCAGTGGAGTAAAGACAGCGACGTCGCACGGCTGCAGCTTGTGAGAAGTGTGAGAAGGAAGTCGACATAGTATAATATTGTTTACGAAATAATACTTAAGAATCTCTAGGGTCTTATGCGTACTAAAGCTATTATAGATTAATACCTGTGGCTTGTTATTCGCCCGCTCCTTGGTCTCTGGATCGAAAATCCGCTTCAGCCACTATAGGCTAACATAAGAGTCAGTGTAGCCGGTAGTAGTGCACGCATACTGCTACCTAGGGGTGGGAAACGTAGTCCAGTTGCTTCGGTGAGTGGTCGCAGGCTATATGATCAGAGGGTTTAGATACCTACCGTCGCCGCTGATGTACTTAATCGCGGTAACTATCTTACGCTTTACACGTGCGCCTCTATAGTTTCGTACGTCGTTCTTACCTACTAGTACTTTGGCCGAGCCGAGTACTAATAATATTACGCTAGTCTTATCCATATTGTATATGTTTTCTGCTAAGACGGCTAGGTCTTGTAGCAGCCTTTCTATCACCTTAAACTAGTGGGATATCTTCTAATATGTATTCTTCTTATGGCGGTTCTAGTCTAGTGCTATGACTCTTTGCGCTTACGTGTCTGGATGGCGTTTCTCGAAGGCGCGCGTCTAGTTCTTGTTCGGTGGCTTCAGTGGTCGGGCTCGCTTAGATCGCTGGCGGGCAACGCAGAAGGCGAGGAAGGGTATGAACTTGATCCGCACGGGCTGCCCTAGATTAGACATCTGTAGGAGGAACTTGACTAGCGCGTCCTCTTCCCACGGGCTGAGATACTGTTGGCTCTGGGCCTTCTCTTCTATCGAGCGGCGGCCTTGGGCACGGGCATGAAGGGTGGAGCGAGGAACCTCGCTATAGTCTATAAGAGCACGATAAGAAGTGGGTACGGCAGGCGGAAGGCCCTTCGCCAACACTTGACTAGCCTTGTCCATGAGAACTACGGAGCGGAAGACTAGAGCTAGCCGTGAACACGTTGAGACATCTCCAGACAGCGTAAACGACGTTGGCGGGTAAGGTCGCGCTGCAACAGCGAGGCTGAGCATCTGGCCGTAGAGGCTTCTAGAAAGCCGCCGGCATGCGCCATAGCCATTTTTAGCATCTGAGTGCTATAGACATAGCACCGAATTCATTACGACACGGTACACAGATATCTGAGCACGCTTCGGTGGCCACCTGGCATGCCAAGAGACACTAGCGAGTCCCAACGCGCTGGAACGCTTTTGGCGATCATCGTTTTCTATCGGCGAAACTGCCGGACTGTATACTCGCTTGGCTGGAAATCCTTTTCAATATATAGGGTGGGTTCTTTTTCATCTCTGCTTCCTAATAGACCCTCCGATCTTTGCAGAGACCTTCTTCATGGCGAGCAGACAGGGGGGTATCGACGGAAGGTAGATCAACAGCGCCAACAAAACGATCGACAGCAAGGGCAACACGGCGAAAAATCGTGCCGGAGGTTGATGGCCTAGAAGAGAGACAGCTCTGAAAGACCAACACACTAGATTCAGGTCGACAATGATGCGGACAAGAGATGGCGAGGCTCCGGAGCGAAAACTGTCCCGTCACACCGTGCGTCCCGGCACGCTTGGATCGACATTACGATATTGGATATCACTGTCAATGCGTGTGGATATGGTTCGAGATGATACAAGTGGGATTACGAATAAACGCATATGCCAATCATTCGTTGACAGGTATATTGAGCTGACGTGTCGTGAGGCGCAGCCCATGCAGGAGATAGGGGAAAGACCAGGGATACGCATTGTTGAGTGTATTATTGCGTATTGTTGAGCGTATTGTTACTGGTATTGAAAATTTACGATCGCGACTATCTTCTTCCTCAAGCAACAGGAGCTATCCAGAAGACTTGATGAAAAAGTTCGCGTCAGTCCGAGGTAGTGCGATACGGACGACACTGTGAGGACGACTATAAGCAAGCCTAGGGAGCCGTCCACTGTTTACAAAAATAAGAATAATCTTGAATGTGACCGTAGTCACGTTTCAGAGATTAAACTAATGCTATGGTTAGCTAATGTGCGGGATGAGAGATGGGAACCTGAGATGCGAGATCTGGAAAACGAAATATGGAGTATAGGATATGGGAATGTGAACTGCATACCTGAAAAGAACAGACTAGTTTTCGTTAACTGGAAAAGCCAAACTCAATATGGGGAGCTGCCATACTACTACACTTGATCTAAGCCAAAAGGCAAAGCTTCGCAATGTTAGTGTACTGGTCTCAACAGTAGGGGGTGGGTTGGAAAAAACTCACAGAGCTAAAGAACAGAAGAGAGGTGGGAGGAGGGGTTTATATATCCGGTGAGAAGACGCTAGTGTGGCTTACGTAATTCCAGGCGACACTTCGGCTGTTGCCTGGGCGGACGTGGTGGTGACGTCGGAAAGACGTTAATCCAGGCGGGGTGGACCTGTTAGGTGGGGGACCAAACAGCGGTGAATGCGTCTTGCCGAAATCGAACGCCAACTATTCGGCAATTCGCGGCCTGTGCTTCTGAATCTGCGGGGCCCTGCTATTGTGCGCGTTGCGCAATGTACGGGTGAATATGCACAGCTGCAACCATGATAATTTGTGCATACCCCTTCGGTCAATTATCGGCATTAGTCCAATTGGAGCACGCAGAAAGTATCCAGTCAAGAACTATGATCGATTTTCTACAAGCACCTTCTAACATAGCATGGTCACCGTGTATATATGTATCATACCTCCGACCCAAACGGTCCCTGTGAGAAGAGCTGATGTGTCGCGTTGGCAACAGAGCTGGTCCAAGGCCCATAGCTGCAGCTTTTGGCGCTCCAAGTATAGTATCGATATCAGGCCAAAACGTGTACTACCTCCATATGGTTTTTTCCATATAACTTTCACAACTTTCTGTACGTGGCTATATGCAGTAGAAGGAGAAGTAATCGCACGTGACATAGCAAAATTTCAACGATTCGAGACTTATCGATATCGAATCGATGTTCTGAACTCTCTCTAACTATTCCGAGTATGTTCGCAGAGATCTACCGAGAATCCATATCCAGGGTACATATATCCACATGACCATTGTGACAGAAACGCATGATATACAGCCATAGTGCCTCCGCGAACGCCATAGCTTGGACAATTGCCATCTAACCTGCAGAGATCTGAGCACTTCTCCACGGATGACTTGGCTATTTGTGAAGAGAGCCCTCATACTAGCAAAACCAGCAACTCCAATAGCTTCAGTATTCCACCAAAAAGTGGGAAATTCAATCCGAATGACAGCCATCAGCTATATTACTGATACTTTTCTTCTATCGTCTTGATTATGGGCCGTAGCTCAAACTTTCTACTAGCTCGAGGGCATATTCTGCTGCAATATGTATCCTTGAACACCATTCCGCCCATGATACCAACGCTTGGGTATTCGAATGCACTCATGTTTAATTGACTGTCTTCAAACTTTGGTATCTGAACACGACAGCTGACATGTAGAGATTCTGTTCCATACTCAAGCACGCCCTTCATTTTTCATGCTCACGAACGATAAGTAACGAAACATGATAGGTAGATGACCATGAAGATACGTATTACTACCGAATGTTTCTAGGTCGTATCTTGCCTGGTTGGTTGGAACAGAGATAGTCAACAAGACTGTTCGTGAACAGCACTGAAGAGATATACAGCCTTAGCTCTATATTTGGTGTCACTCAGGTCCCGTGGTGGTTTGATGCAGTGCTGCATTGTCAAGGTATCGCGACACAATCAAGGCAGGACGTTGGATGAGCGAACGCCGCTTGTGCAACTAGAATTTTCCCTTGTGTTGTCTTCGGAATGACAAGAAACAAATGCGCAGATAGTCTCGTAGAATACGAGTCAGTGTCTCGAAGACGAATTTGTGGCGCGGCATAGCAGACGGTTGGTCCCGGCCCGTTCCGCAAGTGAATCTTTGGGAAGGACAACGATAGTGGCGAATGGGCACTTTCAAGGCACCTATCCTCTACAACCACGAAATGAGAAACCATAGATTGCATCTAAAAACAAGTTTTACTGCAACTCAATCTAATTGTAAATTACATGTAGTGATTATTAGACTTATTTCTAGCTATGGAACGACTTTATCCTGCTATGTGACTGTCTTCAGGCTCGCAATGTTGGCGAAATTGAAGGAATTATAGTGATAACACTGGTACAAAAAGTACCATAATATCACATACCACCTCGTACAAGACTTGTAGTAGTATACAAGAAACCTCTTAGATGCAATCTTACGTCGTGTTGTTGAAACCTGAAGTTATAACTCGCTCCGAGGAGGTCCTGTTCATCATAATGTTGAAATTCGGACATCGGCGAAAAAAAAATCATTTACGTACTAGATACGAGCTTTTTCGTATAATTTTCCAGAAAAAACTCGGTAAGGCGATATCAAATACGATGTCAAAGTGGGCCTTATGAAGCCAAGTTCGCTAAGCCACTGTAAGGCCCTCTAGCCTCGGGCATCACACATCGAATGAGATTCTATGTTGGGTTAGCGCAGTGTTACAGCCAACACGTAGGTTTATCAATCTGATGAAAAATTCAAGGTTGAGTGACAATGAAATACTCGAAGATAGGCAATATTTAGCGAGTGGCGCGTAGTTTACGTGGCTCGCATGCACTATGGGATAGCAATCTATTGAGGAGTGGTAATCGCTGTCGCCAACCTTCCTGACATTATGAATAGTGAGACTATAAGTGATAGGCATAGAGAATCGAAAGCTCTCATTATTAAACTTGTAATCGACGTTTTTAAATTGTTTCCATGTCTTCGATTGTATCGAAATTCATCAAGTCTTACACGGCTTGATCGAAATCCTGGGTTCCCAGAGGCATACTTGCGCCAAAGAGTGGGTAGCTCGTATACCATAGAACCACGTTAACCTGATCAGACTCTGATCATGAAGACCAACAGCATACACAGAATCTCAGGTCAGGGGGCCTCACGGAGCCGAGTTCGTTAAGCAACAACAAGGCTCTCTACTGGTAAGTATCTAGAACAGCTTTACCAAAGTGCCCAACGTATAAAGGGCATCCGGTACGCTGCTTGGTTTCTACCACAGCTCTCAGCTACACAAACAAACATCATCACATCGGTATCCTACACTTTCAGCCCTACCAAAATGAAGCTTCTGTCTATCCTTCTCGGCCTCGCCGCCACCGGAGCTCTATGCTCTCCAACTACCTCTGCCGTCGAAGCCACCGTTGAAGATTGTGGCGAACTCGGAGTCATGGAGTGGGATCCAGCAAGCCTACCCGAAGGCACCGACGTTTCTGCTCTCCGAAAGTGCAAGAAGCATCCGTCTGAACTCGGCATTGTCAGCCCTCTATACGATCCAGCTTCAGAGACGGAAGTCACCAACTCTTCCAAGCGCGGAGAACTTCTCGATGAAGTTGCCGCGCTCGACAAACGGGGCGTTTGCTCAAAGGGAGGTCGTGGCTCCGGCTACGATTACGATTATGGGTGTGATAAGGGCTGGTGCTGGAGGAACTGCGATGGTCCCTTTGTCAATGCTGACGTTGGTCTCAAGAAGACTTGGTGCTGGCTTGCATACGAAAGTGGAAATGGAGGCTGGACTCCCTGTGGCAGGTGGCAAGACTGCGAATGGTCTTACAACAACAAGGCTGCCAAGTGTGGAAAGGGAGACTGCAAGGCTTGTGGCTGTGGCTGCTGATCTTGGAATCCACGGATTAGGTGGACACTGGATTATTATAAGGATACTCAATGGTGCAATTATGCCATGAGAGGGTTGGACAAGCCCCTTGTCTTCCGAATCTTGCAGATTAGATTGGTGCCATCCTTGTAAATGTCATATATTCCTAAATGTTTTTCGCCACAGGTTCACGATACAGTTCCATTACCACCATCACAATCGTGAGTAACATGTCCACCGTGTGGAATCTTCTTAGAGCTATCTCTGTTACTAAGTATTGTAAATTCGTATAACCAGACAACTGAAGACGTTCCAACATGTCTCATGACCAGATTTCCCATCATTTTACTCTTTTCGTTTTCTCACATAGCTCCTTCTTGTACCTAAATATTCGTTCGTCAAAGTCCATGGTAATTATTCAGGTAAAGTACCGAGATATTGCTCGGACCCGAGGAGTTCTTTTTCGGGAAGCGGCCCAGATCTGATCAAAAGTACCTCATCGTACAACAATTGGATTTGAACTGAACGTTGCACGAATCTGGGTATTGTGCACTCATACTTCATCCATTATTAATGGCAGCTGAAAGAGAAGGCTGTATAATCGGAACTATCTAGTACTTTGAAGTGCCTGGGGTACATCGGTGATGGGTTTTCGTGTCTGTACGTACAGCTAAGGTGTGTTCAGTCACGTGATTCACGTTTATGTCCGGTACACTGCGTTGCTCGATCGCCAGCTGTGATTTCTGCGAATAGCGACATCGACTGCTGTGCTTGCTTTGATCCAATCTCGAGCAATTGACCTAGCTGAGATCACGATAGTTATCAAGGGCTACCATCATGCTTTGCGCACGTGTGCGAGGTGCATAAGACGTAGTGTACTAGTACAACAGCCTCCTGGCACCACTTGGTCATCATATCGATCGATACTAGCAATTTTTCGTCGTTTTTCTGGTCAATACAGCACGTGTGAATCCACAGCCACTGTATATGCCTGTTTGATTTTAAAGTTTGGACTCGTATTTTCGAGCGGTTTTCCACGTCCGTGTCTCTGCACGTGCCATCGCGCCACATCCATAGGCTACGGCTGCAGCTCGTGGCGACAAGGATGTCCCTCACAGCAATGTTGAGACGCTCTGAAGTAACGCGGCACACAGAAGGTTGAGTTGAGAAGCTGGGAAGGTTTGCGATCATGTGTAGCCACAGTCCGCGCCCAGGCGATGGACGAAAAAACGAGTGAATAGTTACTACTCTTGCTAGGCATGTGGAACATTTGCTACAACGAGCTTATCACAGCGAGGTAGTACGCGTATTTCTCGGCGGAGAGGCTGACTGTTGCTATACGGTGGCCAGCTATGTAGAATGGGCGCGGTTCTGGACTCTCTCAACGGCTCGTATCTGCCTCGATTTTGCGGCGAGCTGTTCTAATGATGCACGTACGTAGTAGTCAAGATAAAATAATATTTTCCTGAGCACGTCAGAAGCAGGCCCAATGCACATTGTAGGGTGACAGCAAGTATGATTCGAGAACTTGAAATATATATAGCTTTGTTCACTCAGACTGAGACTTATCGACCGTGTATTGTGGTATCTGCAGCAATCGATCTCACTGCAGTATGTCTTGGTACCTAATTCATGATGCGTTGACATGCACGGCCTCAAACGGGACGCAGTGTCGGCACGTTATGCCGAAGTCATGCCTGTTAAATGGGGTGACATGCTGTCGCTACGAAAACAAGCCGAGAAAAACACGTCTTTGCGGTGTAATGCATATCTGAGAGCTCTGCAAGACGCTCAGTTAGGCGGTCTGAGTATATAATGACTTCGTTTAGCGTCTCCCAAGTAGCCAAGAGGTCGATCGAGAACAAGTACAACTTCCGACATGCACATGGTCATTTTCGCCAATCTGAACTCGAAGCTTAATATTCGCCCCCGTGTTCGACTTGAGAACGGCTGCTAGATCGGACCAAAAACTTTACGTGGTCTTTATTGGCCGAGCAGCAGGGATAATTTAAAAATAACGCCGATTCCGTCTCTACTTTCGAGACGGCTAGACGCATTACTTAGGAGGGCAGGGACAAATGTCAGCCTTGCAGCGTCTAGCATTGCTATCAGTGGTCGAGCGTGAGAGTAAGGATACTCGATGCTTTCCTGTAAATTGCACGCCTATCAGGACTGGTCAAAGCGATCAAGTGCCTTCTTACCCATTGGCCGCACGGTTCACATTCTATGTAGTGCTTATTTCTCGAAGTTCAAAGAACCAGTCCGCAACAACCCGCACGGTTTTAGTGTCCGGCTAAGAATTTAGCTAGCAGGCCCGCCATGCTTATACCCTAAACGTCTTAAGTCAGCGTTCCGAAATATACATAAGTATGTAGACAATCCTACCCCTCCATCCTACAGCATATGTCCGGTATCGTCGGTCCGCTCAATCATGTCCCGTCGCCAAATATGCCAAGCAGCCTTGGTGTTGCAGATACTCATCCCATTCTCATCTGGAGAATTCTTTGACAACAACGCTGATGCCCTTCGTGAACTCGATATTCCCGTTGCGAGATCTGTTCACACACTAAACCCGCTTGGCAAGCGTGATTCGGACAACTCGATTGGTAAAGCAAGAATCTTTACGTCGAACTAGCATAACGGAGAGCTGACAATGGGGTGTTCTATCAAATAGCCACTCGATCCGTCGGCAAACACATCGACCCCACGCGAACTATCCTTGACGGAACGCGCTATGCCCTTGATGTTACGATCGCCGGAAAGACTTATGCGGTTGAATTTGATACCGGAAGCAGCTCGTTCTGGCTACCCAGTGCCAACTTCACATGTTTCAATATAACCAACCAAGTGCAGTAAGTATGATGCGGAAGCTGACCATGAATTACACATTGGCTTATTCACTCTGCAGACCTCAGTCCGCATGCAGCTTTGCATCGGTGGGTCCTGACCACTATACTCGGGGACTAGTAGCAAATACACACTTTAACTTGACATATCTCAGCGCAGAATTTGTCAGGGGCTCTGTTGGTCTCGAAGATGTGACCATCGCAGGATTGACCGTCCGGAATCAGCATATGTCGCTGGCGGACGAAGTCTGCCTTGACACTGCGAACAACATGACTAGTGGAATTATCGGTGAGTCTTATCTTCTATTTTTCGCAATATCGCAAACAGCCTAGCAGTCGGATTTGTGTGTTTCTGACGATAATAGGGTGGGGATTGGGCAATAATACTGCATACTTTCCAGGAAATGACTCAAGCCTCGATAACAAGACGGACCCAAATCACACCTGGATTCCCACCAAAACTTGGCTCCAAAATGCAGTCGACCAGGGCTTATTGGAGAGACCAATATTCTCAGTCAATCTTGGCAACAGAACAGAGAACGCTGCAAATCTGAGCGTATCTGGATTTGTGGCTGTAGGAGGTGCGCCACTTGACGGACTTCCCTTTACTGGAGTCTGGGCCCAGTCAAAAGTCAGACCTACGACGTATGCGCCCTGGGGTGTGAAGAATAAGTACACTCATTGGAACGTTAGGCCAGATGGATTCAGGGTCAACCAGACCTTCATACCATGGGTTCCCGGTGTCTTTGTCGACGGCGAAGAGATCTTCACTATTACCGATACTGGGACCCCGTGGAGCTATATCACCGACGAGACTGCGAAAGCCATTGCCGAAGCGATACAGCCTCCAGCGTATTACTCGATGTACGACAGTGCGTATGTCGCCAATTGCAATGCCACAGTCCCTGAAGTAAGCCTTCGCATCAATGGTACGGATCTACCAATCAGCAAGAGAGACATACTCCTTGATGGCTGGCTTGGTCAGGCCAACGATTCGACTGTGCTGTGCTGGCTTGGCTTTCAGCCTAGCTTGCAGCCAAAAGCAGGTGGCACTGCACCCTTTCTCTTAGGAGCTACCTTTCTGAGGAATGTATTGGCTGTACATGACGTGGGAAATTTCAGGATGCTGTTCGCTTCGCTCAAATGGTGATTCCGCTAGTGTAGCGCGGAATTAATGAACAACAAGAACCCTACATTTGTGTAAATCAAACTCTTAGTTTACCTTGATGACAATATCTTCTACTTTGGACATTTTCGATGGCATAATGAAACTCCCATTGCGATAATGTCTAAATCATCTTGCCATGAAGATGTATATTTCAGTACTAACGAGTGTATCACTTCCTAAAATAAAATACGCGCAGATTTAACAACAGGTCCTATCTGCATGAATGCAAAACAGGGTCGTATAGCAGTGTAATCGTTACGTATGAAACTTAGAAGAATTGAAGCTGATTGCTCTTGAATATCACAAGTCGCCAAATAAGTTGCAAATAGCTATGGACAAATACGACGATGTAAGACGATATCTTTTTCATGTTTTCTCAAAATCTCAATTCAAGCCTCTAAGCACTACACATGCATTGAATCTATCATTTCCCTTTCTTAACCGCAGTTGCAGCCGCACTCCTTGGGGTTATGGCAGTTAATGCCGCAAGACTGCTGCTGGTTGCACGAGCCCCAGTCGGTGCATCCGTACCAGTCTCCAGATCCGTCACCACGAGCAGTCCAGCACCACTGACCACCATCACCGCAGACCTTCCAGCATCGCTTCTTGCCGAGATCACAGCCGTATGGAGCGGTTGAGACGCAACCACGGGCGGAAAGGGGGCTCTACAAGATAAAGGAGTCAGTGACTGCTTACTAAATGAACTTGATATTACATACGGCTTTGTCGGTGAAGCTCATCCATGGTGTGTTTGGGGGTGGGATGGACGAGTTGGCGAAGTCAGGGGCTTCGCCCTCGTTGCCGGCGTGGGGAGCTGAGAAAACGCCTATAGCTTGGGCAGCCCAGAAAAGGATGGTGGTGAGTTGCATCTTTGCGGTTGAAGGTGAGGTTGGAGAGGTGAGTGATCGATGGGAGTGTGATGATGAGAAATGATGAAGAATGCTCTGGGCTTAAATACCTTTCTTTGCGAGTTGACTTCTCGTTGCCAACATCTGTCGAACTGCCTACCATATCCGCCTTAGACCCCATTGATCTTCGCCTGGTGTACTTCAGATGGTTGTTCCGTTGCCCCACAGATTGAGGATTCACGAAATGCCCTAGGCTTGGGGGCCTTACGTAGGGTCCACCACAGAACGCCTGAAGACAAGAACAAGTCCAACACCATTCAGCCTGAATCTCAACCCCACAGCACTCTATGTATGCGAGGTTGACTCGAAGTTTTTTAGTAGCATTAGAATCACTGGGTTGTGGAGAGTTTTCTTCATACTCAACGAAGATGAGAGAATAAAGTTCAAATCAATCTGCGCTACCGCCAAGCGACCAAGCCGTCGCAGAATTGCTTGAATCCGGAAGGATTCAGGGTCCGTTCGGTTAAGATTTGTTCTGCACTCCACTAACTGTATTTGGCAAATTCTTAAAAATAGCCCCAGAGACAGTGTCGTGTGCAGTAACGTAAAGCTTTGTTGTGTTTCCGCAACGCTAATAAGAAAGTCCCTGCCTAGCGCAGAACTGGTATGCAGGTCTCCCTCTCTTCGGCAAGACAAATCTCCATTTTAAAGTGGTATTTCCGAGGTACAATTGGGTCCCAAAACTCCGTTGTGCCACATAACTACAGCAAATCTGCTGGTTTTTCGGTGAGACTAACACATCATTGCATATGACTATAACATAACTGTAATATCACTGCAAAGTAGAGCTCCAACAGGACAGCCCCTCTGTTTTATGTCCTAATGTATGCAAGCCTAGCTCCCAGACTACTCGCTACATACTAACCCAAAGTAGGCCAGAAACGGAAGGAGTAACTAAACAGGCTTTCAACAGCGGGAGACTGAGCCGTTGAAGATCTGAACAGTCCTAGCGCCCTGTGAACGAGACGTGTCATGGTCTAGACTGCCCATCCTAGAGTACTCGTATCACACCGCTAACAAAGGAATCTACTTACCGCGGATGAGAAAATACGCCAATGGTGCTTGTTTTCTCTGGTAAACGCGCCTGCCAGCTACGTAGGCGGGTTCTAGGTGGCCTGATGGGTACCTGCTTGACATCCTCGGGTCATCATTGCGACGGGGTCCTAGATAAACCCCGCAATGAAACATCGCAATGGAACACCGTACCTCGCACCCGTCCTGCCTCACAAGCGCGCTGGAAGAGATGAACAGGGCACCTTATTTGGTTGCTACAAGACATTCACGACCGGTCCAAGAATAGATTGATATCTAAGCTTGAGCAGGTTGCGATTAGGCATAGGTAAATAAGATACACACTCATAGGATCTTCGCTACTGGCTTTCTCGATATGCAATCCTGAAGCGCTAACGAAACCGAGAACCCTTTCATCCACGTTCATTTGCTTACTATACCCAGAAGCACCGGATAAACCTCGTATAAGTTGTAGCCTCTGGTGAGACCAGTGGCGCGCCTGCCGCCCTCTGAAATTGTACTAGTCCTCAAAATCGTTGCGCCTTTTACAGATATGACAGAAACTTTCCTTTCTAAAGCTAATCGTATCTAATTGCCGCTCCCTTAGTCTTCTATGCCTTCTCGCGACCTGAAACCGACGCAGTATCAATTCAATGGTCATTCTCGCAAGTAATACAAGTTTCTTTTACTTTGCTATCGCCACTCTTGTCGAAATGAGAGGCTGGACTAAAGCTAGAATCATTGAGGTAGCTGGCACTTCTTAGGAATAAATAATTCAATAGCCAAGGTAAAGGCAGAAGTACAAAGGCTTACCGTAGGTCTGATAGTATCCTACAACCGGAGATCTCTAAGCATCCAACTTTCTCTGGACTCACTTTTGGTCAGCAGTGTATCGAAGAGCTTCCATTTGGGCGCATTAGCGAGAGAGGCGCCAGTATGAAGCTGGACCATTGCCATAGCACTGTTGTCTCATTTAATCTCACAGCCTTTCAACCCCTTCTCACCATCATGGACGCATTGTAATCATTCTGAACTGATTTTCTAGTTCAAGAAACAAGTAAAGGTAAAATAGCTGGGCGTGAAAGCGAGTGCTTCACCTGAGGTAAAGCTACTGGCGTTGCCACGTGCTATCCATCAGTGAGCATGCTGGATACACTGGATATATCAAGAGGCCTCCACTCCTTCTGACAGATCCCCAGCCCTCTTCTCCAAAACCGCCATCGTCTTCTCTTTAGTATCTTTGCAATAATGGCGGATATCAAACTCACCCGCAAAGCCAGATATGAGACCGCCGAAGCGCAAATTCTAGACTTGTCTTTCACGATAGAAGGTGCAGCTTTTGAGCACCCAGATGTCTTCGATAACTCCAAGCCCGTGTTTATAAATGCTCGTAAGGCGTCCAGCATAATGTACAAGAAAGCTATTGCAAAATGGGAGGAGAATCCAAATGGACCAAAGTCACGCGAAACCTTAGAGTTGACAGCAGCCGAGACCGCTCAAGAGATTGAAGAAGACATGGAGCGGTATTTGCTTGTGGGTTGGGTACCCCAGACACAGCAGCAACCAGGGAAAGTTGTCAGGCGTTATGGCCGTCCTGTGGGCATTGACCGACCAGAGGAAGACAAGATCATCACATTCGACAAGGACGAAGATGACCTCCCGCTGATGGTTGTAGTGAAATCCTTGGATGAAGAAGTCAAGCTTGCTTCCGTTTTCAAGTATGTTCTACTAGAGCAAGTCGATGGTTTATGCACTCCCTACAGTATCAATTCAAAGGAAGTCTATCACCTCAGTCTTTACAGGGACATGACGACGATGAACCATAAAAGGCTGGCCGCGTGGAACCAGCTGGCATGCAAATACGCATACCAAGGACATAAGAAACCAGAGGTTTGGAACACCAAGAGATCACAAGCTACCCGAGACAGGGAGATGGCCGTGCCCCCACCAAACAAGGACTCCGGCAATGACGTTGATGCAACTTCCACCGAGGACATGCTAGAGGACAACGCTTCGTATTCCTCAGAAATGGCGGATGTCCCCAGTGACATCAGTGAAGACCTCTCATGCGACTCAGACAAAATCAGGGAATTACAGGCATTCGTCGATGCTGCCAACAAAGAAAATGCACCGTTCACGCAAGCACAAGCAGATGTCATGGTCGAGGAAGCCCAAGTATTATGGTCCAATGCGCAACATCTCGACAGCTACCATGTCTATCTTCTGGCTCAGGGAATGCGCGAAGTCGGACTTGCCCCAGCATATCCTCACCTCAAGGCATTCGTGTTGGAAGGATGCTATCACATTGCCAAGATGTCCGGAGAAGTCACCATCGAGGAGCTGGGTGCGATTGCATTGCAGGCTGAAGAGACTGTGAAGCGCGTACTGAGCTATATCGAGTAAGCATGGATGGCGAATGCCCATAGGGAGATCACCACGCCTGGTATCAAGGAAAAGTAGAGAGAGAGAAGGGGTTATCGATATTGACACGGGTTCCACTGAAGTGATGGAGATGATAATAGGTAAGTAAACCCTTGACACCAATTCCCTATATATGTGAGCAAATCACTGACGTAGTGGAGCTTGCTGGTATCTTTAATGCTTTCATGATATAGCAAGACTGGTATTGTCTTTATTCCATCGGAAGAGATCATATTTGGGTCATACAGCTATGGAGATCATGGTGTTTCTTGGGACAGCAGGAATATATGGTACTTGGGATACAAGATGAGTACAGCGAATGCGAGTCGACAGCCTGGAAGAATTGGAAGGAAGATAAGGCCCGGTTTCTCGGCATTGCCAGGGATGCGAACGACATTGGCGAAAGGGTGAACAAGGGGAGCTATCAAAGAACTTGAACTTTCCTCGACTCAGAATTCGATACTGTTTTTATACATTTACTAGGACATCTGCCATGTCCCTCTTCCAACAGGCGTGGCCGATTTGATATTTCTTTAGTTGCTGCACAGTCTTCATCTACTATTACTTCGAAATCCAATGTTACACACTGGAAGTTCGTTTTATCAGATAAGCACTATGTACTAGCATTATCTCAATAGACGCGGTTATGCGCGATGTGACTTTTGCGAAAAGTCGCATGGGCAATTCGTAGAGCACATCGAGCCAGGCTGGTAGAACATCAATGTCGTTGCGGACAAGAGTGCCGAACGTGACTGCTGCTTGGATCCCGGGATGATACGTAGCGCTTGAATAACAATATCAATCATCACGACCGGTCGGATCCTGGGACAGTAGCGCTTGAAAAAAATGGTGCAACTCAACACGGCTGGTTGTATCTCGGGATGGTAGGGTTTAGATACTACAGCGAGTACTCTCTTAGACGTCTCGAGGCATTAATTCGCATCGCAACTTCGAGCGAGCTTCGTCTGCAACAAGCAACGCTTGATATATAGTATACATATCGCATCATCCCTATAAATTATATTTAGCACCACAGCCCGATCCTTCCATTCCCTTACCATCCGATCTAAACCAGGTCTCTCTCCCTCCATTCCAAACATTTGCAGCGCAGCTGAAATCCCACTAGCTCGACGCTCATAAAGGGGAGAGAGGGGCTGATAGCGCGGACCAAAAGATCATTTAGAAGCGCCGTAGAATCCCGCGGGCGGCGAAACGGCGCGACTCAGCAGCCACCATGATTGGACACACCTATCACTGGAAGGAATGGTAGCGGTCAGCCCTGTCAAATGTTCCCTCCTGCATCCCACTAACAATGTTAGTCCAGAGCGTCGCGCATATGCAAGGCGCGAAGGCGCGAAGGCAGCGCGCCCAAAAGGTCGTATTAGCTTCGTATAGGGATGATTAAGCTCAGCGATCGCGCCTGGAATGAATCGAATAGAAAGCTGACATCCCGCATCCAATTGTCCCTTGTCATTCTCAGTCTCTCGTTCAAGTTTCTATTCTTCAAACCATGTTGACGCGGCCCCCACAGCTATCCAGAGCGCTGACTTACTACGCGTTAGCGGCGCTCTTTACCATAGGAATCGTGTACCATTTTCTCTCGCTGCAGGATGGCTTCATCGCACGTGTACCGGGTCGTCCGGTAGATAGTACCCAGCCGACCGAAATCCCAAAGCTCATCTGGTACAAACTGGGCCCGAACGGGCTCTCTGACGAAGCGCGCGCCTGGACAGATACCTGCATTCAGAACAACACAGGCTACAAAGCGCATTTTTTGACAGACGAAGACAGCGACGCGTACGTCCGCAAAACATTCGCTTTCCGCCCAGACATCGTAGATGCCTACCTTGCGCTCCCGATTCCCATCTTCAAAGCCGATCTCCTGCGCTACCTGCTGCTCTGGGACCAAGGCGGCATCTGGTCCGACCTCGACGTATCCTGCAGAGACGTCCCCATCGACTCCTGGGTTCCCACTCTTTACAAGGCCTCCGCCGCCATGGTGGTTGGCTGGGAATTCGACTATGGCTGGCCGGGCAAATACGTGCGGCAATTCGCGAGTTGGACGATAATGTCGAAGCCGCGGTCGCCGCACATGATGCAAGTCGTCGACGATATCCTCGAGACGCTGCGGGTGGAGACGACGGAGCATGGGGTGGGGATTCAGAATGTTACGCTGGAGATGATGGGGGATGTGGTGGATTTTACGGGCCCAAGACGCCTGACAGGGAGTGTGTTTAGGAGTTTGGAGAAGCAGATGAATCGGACGCTGGATGTGAGTGAGTTTCATGAGATAATGCAGCCGAGGTTGGTGGGGGATGTGTTGATTATGCCGGGGCAGTCGTTTGCGGCGTCTTCGAATACGTATACGGAAGAGCAGCAGAGGGAGTTGCCGCCGCAGTTGGTGGAGCATCATTATGCGGGGAGCTGGAAGAATGATAAAGGTGGTGAATAGGAGGACATGGGGGGGGGGGGGTGATGGGTTGGAAGAATGGTGCGTTGCAGTTGGGACTTGTGCATAAGTCGGTGCCGATACCCTTGAGTATCCTGAACGGAAGATATGCGTTGGTCCTATGCATCCGGCAGCAGAGTCTGCGCTGGAGCATAGACATCGCTCTCGGAAGCGCAGTAGCTGCCACGAGCGCTGCCTCATACGTAGGTGAACTCTACGAGATTTGTGGACGAGACCAGGCACGATGGAACGAACAGGTTGAGGAAAGAGGACGCGCGCAACGCAAGACGTGGCGCCAGAGGCAGATGCGACCTCGACCTGCATGACGAGTTGCACGAAAAACAAGTCTCTGAGCCATGAGAAACTCAGTTACACAGGGTGCAGTAAACTGTTGATCGAGCCCAGTAACTTCAAGAGCAGACATGATGTGACGAGAGATGAACATAGTAATCAAGGGTATCAAGCTTTATATTGCTACTTTTGCCATTACAAGAGAGTATCAAATATCATAAGTCATCTATCAAGAATTAAGGCTTCCCTTCCCCTCTTATAGAGGCAGAGATATAGCCCTCCGCGCCTGACTCACCTCACTCTGCTTATGCCGGGCACTACAAACGCACTTGCACCGAGGACATACCTCGCCGTCCACCCTATTCAGACGATCCCAAGTCTTCAATACCACCCTATCGGCATGTGCATTAACCTCAACTTCTGCCTCGTCTTTCTCCTCTACCAGACGCTCTTTGAACTCGACCAGCTTCTCGTTGCACTCATCATTGAAGGCAGCGAGGTTATCTTCTTTGAGCGCGGCAAAGTCAAGCCGAGTGTCGGCAAGGTAGTCCTCAAACTCTGCACCAGCCGAATTATGGAGTTCAGAGGCTTGTTGGGAGGCTTGATCGAGGGCATCGGCCAGGATTCTTTGGATATGGGTCTGGGTGTACGTGCTTATGAGAGACTTGAAGACTGTCGAAGGGGCGGGTTTCTGACTCGGGATTGGACAGCGCTTTGTGGGCGTGTTCGGCAGTTGATTGGTATGTCGTGTCGGCGACAAAGACGGCGACGGTGAGCCAGCGAGTATTCCTGGAAGAAGATCTTGCAGAATACTAGGAAATTGTGCGCGCATCAGATCTGGGAGTACTTTCTCGACGGCGGACGTAACAAGATCTTGGAAAATGTCCACTTGCACAGTGGCAGTGGACGAGGCTGTGGATTTTGCGCTCAGCGGTGATGCGGGAGAGGCGCGTTCTTTTGGAGAGCGCGGATATGTTGGGTCTTGGAGCAGACGCTTCGGTAAAGGCGAGTCGGGTGTCAAGCTGGTACGAGCTGGGGATTGTGTATTAGCAATATATCAGTATTTTGTCCAACTAGAAGACCTACCATTCCTCGAGCGCTTGCCCGACACACGTGCATACGGAGGTGGGGCGTCATCTACTGCGTCCTCAATAGGAGGAGGTCCAGCTACCGCGTCCTCGATGGAAGGCAAGGCTTCAGGCTCGGTGTCGTTGATACAATCGAGAATTGACCAGTCTGCTTCCTGATACAAACGGGTAAACTGAGGAATGGCTGGAACTCCAGCAAGTTGGCGAGAGCCTTCAATGATGCTTTGGAGCCGGGCGAGATTGCTCTTCTCAAGCCAGTTGGTGTCGAACAAGACGCGCACTTCTGTCGCCCTGGCCAGCGTTAAAAGCTCGTGGAATCCGGTGTGAAGGCCAGGCCCTGTCTTGCCTAAAGTGCGAGGATACCACACAGAACAGGGTGCTTTGAGCGTCAGCGACAGCATTCGAGGCCGAGGTTTCCCATGTCGCGCAATGCTGTGCAACGATGTACCCGGGAGAGCGATATCAGCATTCCGAAGTGACATCTTCCCAGGGATAAGATTGTCACCTTCATAGCGAAGGGTTAAGAGCTGCGGGTCATCAACGCCATGGATTGAAACAGAGTGTCCGAGAGACAGGGCAAACTGGTCGTCCGAATGCAGCATCTTTAGAGAACACGGCCATAACACGGATTCATCATTCATAGGATAGGCCAAGGCAGGGACGCCTTGGTTGCGAACGAGGCTGAGAACCATTTTTTTTCATTAGTTCGTTCTACAGAAAATGTATACTTAACACTAAAAGCCCCTTTCTAATGAAGCAAAGGAAACCCGCCCACCCGGGCTTTCGCGTTTGGTCGCGCAGAGCAGCCCTGACTCTGTCGCAGCAGCAAGAAGACGCGCCAGATCGTGCCCCGCGAAGCCCGCCGTATGCACCAGCTGTGCCTTGCTTGAGTATCGCCCCCCAGATGCGCGAGCCGGAAACGGGTAGACCGCAAACCGACTCGCTATGTCCAAGGCCTTGCAGTAAGGATAGCGTACTGGGGCAAGACGACAGGCAGGCGATAGACGGTTTAGCAGCTTACGATAGACGGTAATCGCTTGCGCGTGCGACGAGGTGGAGTGTGGAGGATGGATGCGAATCGGGGTTGAGTGGTGGAGGTGGAGTTGTGATAGGGAGTAATGGACGAGGTTGGGTTGGTCTTTAGTATTGGGCGGCGCGCCTCGTCGCGCAGGGCTTGGCACTGCGCTAGGCAGCAACACCACCCACTACCACTCACTCTTGACTCTCACAGATGAAACTACCTCGTGAATGCCTTTTTCGGCAATTTCCACGATTCAAACAGTTCGTTCACTAGAATCACTAAAAGAGCTGTAGTGGGTGGCGAGAATTCGCAGCCGACAGTTCTCATGATTGTGGAAGTAGAGGGAAGTTTAGTGGTTACTACAGTCGACTTGAGCAAAGCCGAAACGAAGCCGGGGCAAACAGTCTTCAACATTTGGCAGATCAATGGAACAACAGGTGGTCATGGCATTATTTATTAGGTAGTCATATGATAATTTTGTTGCAGCGTTCATCGAGCAAAATAAGCAGCGCATATAGCAAGGTGCAAAGTATGACAAAAGCTTGGAAACTGCTACTAATGGTTTCTCTTTGTCCAACCCTACGATACGTATGTGTATGTACTACAGTCGTTTGCCAGGTAAAGAGTGATTTCTTTTCTGTCAAATCCTTGATTAAAAATCACTCATGTGCTTAGCCGTAAAGCTAAGTAATAATCTTTACTTTGTGTGAATTCTGATATTGAATAAAAGCACTTGTGAGAATACGAGATAGAGATACGCAATGTGTTTAGATCTCAAGTAGTCCAAACCATTCTCTCGACATTACCAGTATGATACCTACATGGAACTATTTGGATGGTTGACCTTTGCTAAGTACATTTTACCGTCCCTGCATTGTTCATTCACACTGATTGCAACTGAGCAAAGCTACCGACGTAGTCAATGTAACCAAGGACCCCCAAAAAAGACCTTCAATTCATATACGCTGTTGATTTTAGTGTGTAGCAGCAACAAACGTTCAGCCATAAGGAGATAACCCTCCTAGGTCTGTCATGTCCGAAAATTCGTCGTTGGAATCGGCAATGACAGTTGTGATTGTACTAGCCTTAATTGTGTCTAACTTTTCTCTGTGTTATTGGTACGACCGGCCACGATAAATATGTACTCTCATAGGAAGGACGTCTAAAATCCTTGTCTCCAAATAACCACATCCTCCACACATGCCCTTAGATAAAATACAACCCATGTCACAACCCGCACTACAGTCGATACGACCAGCTTATCATCCACTACGTTCGTACCTCATTGCCTTTCTGCGTTTTACTCTGGGGATGAAATTGGAGTATTTGGTGCTGGATTGAATTTATTTTACTGCAACAAAATAGTGCAATGACATCAAGCCCATGATTATTGTATCGATTTTCGGTGTTATTCTCCATTCCTGATTATCTACTCACAATAATAACACCAATAAATACCCCTTGTAGGATATCATATTTTGTCATTATGATTATTGCCCATCTACAGCATCCAATGATGATCATATGTGAGTAATACAACCGGTAAGCACAAAGGTGCATAATCCGGAGGTTTAAATTACCCGATAGCTGTATTCTTCTGGGGTGTGAAATAGTTTGCACAAAAGAAGGGTCAATATGAAGGCGGAAGGCGGAAAGTGGGCATATTGTCATGGTTTTTTCCTGCTTTGGGCGGTGGTCAGATTTTGGCGGGGATAGGAAGGGTAGGGGTAGGGGTGCGGAGGGACATGGGGGTTGTGGAGAGGAGGGAAATGAGATGAGGTTGAAAAGGGGTGGGAGCGGGGGGAGAAGGAAAGAAGGGCGAGAGGTGCAATGGGTAAATCACAGCCAGGTTCATGATAAGATTCGGACGAAGAAAAAGGTGGTATGATTTTTGTGGAGTGAAGAGTTGTGGAAATTGTAGTTGTGTCGTGTGAAATGTGCATGCTAGTTAGGGCGTGGCGTTGCCATGGGTTGTTACCAGGGGTTATTACTACGAGTTATCGAGTTGTTTCTGAGCTGAAAACAACAGTTGATCAAACTCTTCTGCGTTCTATATTGAGCGTGCAGCTGGACCAAGTTGGTGAACCAAGTAGACACAAGTAGCTCTTGAACATGTCCACGGCTACCTGCAGTGCGTATATATACCTGTCCATCAACCCGCGGAATACGAAAAAGTAAGCAGCTTGAAGACAAGAAGCATTTTGCAAAAGCACCGCCGACAAACGTCGGAAGTCGGATGTACGTCACGTCAACGGTTCAGACCGTTGTTTCACGTCAGTGCCCGTCGCATTGCGTCAACGCGAGCAGAGTCAAAAAACAAGCATACTTTGTCGTGTGGTGACACGGACGGGATGCGAAACAAGCGTTGGACGCAGCGGGAGTGCGGCGGACTCTACCTAGTAGTAGCTATCGATAGCGCGGGGCCAGGTCTAGAATCCAGATGGTAGTGACTACAGTACTCTACCTAGTACGCAGGTGTAGAAGACGAAACTCTGATCAGAGCCAATTGGATGGCAAGGCAAGATGGACGCATAATAGTGGCAGTACTGCAGCTGCCTGTGACAGTTTGATCAAAGACGTCTTGGCCGGCCAATGGCATGGTTGACAAGTGACGTCTTTGAGAGCGGGAGAGCGTCACAGAAATGTAGGGCGCTCAATAATTGTGATGGCTTAATGTTTCGTTTCAAGCAAGTCTCAGGCCTCTCTGTTTCGAAGGGCGGGGCGAACCGCTGTAGCAGATTTGGTAGACTAGTGACAAGTTTGATAAGAAGGAAAGGCTTGGTATGGGGGTGTTGATGCAGACGAGGGTATAGTACGTCAGCAGGTGAAATGTTATGAGTAAGGGTGTGCGGGGTAAGGAGGGTAAGAGAATAGAAGAAGCAAAGAGAAGGAGGGGTAAGAGTGTTTGACCGTGGCTGGCAGGCAGGCAGGCAGTTTGGGGGGGGGGGAAGGAACGTTGGTTGGGCCTTGGCTTGAGCGTTTTCCAGAACAGCGTGAGCGCACCAAAATAGCATGCCGACTCAATGCTGTTGCTTAGCGACGTGGGGCAACAACAGCGGCCATGGCAGGCCAGAATATCGAAATGCTCGTGTTGCTCATCTGCAATATTGCCTCATTTATTTCCCACCGGTCGAGAGCGGGACAAGAGAGCATAGCGCCGCGGCAGGCTAGCCAGTGAGAACGAGTTTTTTGGAGAAAGCGACCGGAAACGGAGTGGAAACTGGGCGCGGTTGCCCTCATTTCCGAGCAATTGGGGGGGAGAGCGAGTTGGCGGAGAGTCGAGAACCGGCTGCGCACTGGGAGGGAAGAGCAGCAGGGACAGGCTGGGCCCGGCACATGGCAGCCTGATCCCTGGGGCATCGCAAACGGGTAGTGGGTAGGGCAATAGGGGAGGCCGAGCCATGTGCAACAGGCTGAGACTGGCATCCACTGTTGTGCGTGGCTGTGTGTAATGCGGCGACAGCCTTGTGTCAGAGTAGTAGGCATCGTGTTGGGCACGAGGGCCGGGGGCAGAAAGTCTATGTACTACTACCATGTACTTAGTACTGTATGTTTATGTGTACGTGTACCAGTAGCCTTTTAGTACTTACTCTAGATACGAGTAGTGGTACTAAGAATCTACGGACTGTGGCACTGTGGCTAGGGCGCGCGCCGTTGCTGCACCAGAGCGCATGACGACGCGGCGCAATGGCGACGGATGCAGCAGTGCTCGCTCGATTGCGCGGCGTCGACTCATGCTAGCAGACGTGATGGCAACATTTGGCTTCTTTTGTGCAGACTTGTGAAGTCGCGGTGACTGTATGAAGATGTGCGCCCAGGTCGCGCGTCGCACCATTCCCACGCTTGCACCAACCCGTCGACCCGGCGATGCACTGCTGGCCTGTTCGCCGGGCCATACGACAATGCCCACACTAAGTAAGTACTCTGCTCCTAGTGACGAGCGCGTCTTCATCGAGGATTGCATCGCAATTGCCGGCGCAGCACCCGTGGCCAGCGCACTGCCGTGGATGCGCCTGTGGATGCGTGCGGCTGGCAGGCAAATTGGACAATGAGTCGAATCGCCATTGTCGAGCCGAATACCAGACAAAGTACACACAAACAAGGTACGATATACCTTCACGGCATGTGCGCGCAGATGCAATGGACGAATACTTAGGCAGTAATACCCACATAGCTGCTCAGGTAGGTGGTGACATAAAGATGGAGACGCCAGTGCAGGCCCGGCAAGGAGGATCTGCGCCTGGCCGGCATTCGATTCTAAGCTGGCGGCATGAAACAGCAGGGCTACTGTGTCGGGGGCCGCGGCGAGCAAGTAAAAAAAGAAGGACATTTTTAAAAAAAAAAAGAGGAGCGCTGGACGCTGGACGCTGGACGCCGTACTTGGACAGATTCGAACACGACAGGGCAAAGACGGTGTGGGCAGTCCTCTCGGCTCTCGGCGCCCCAGCGGCTGCCACGCTCGACGTTGGGCGTGGGGCGCTGTGAGTGGCTGCGTGCGGCTGCGTGCCAGCCGCCCCTGCCTTTTGTTGCTCGCAGGCATGCAGGCACCGCCGTCCGCTACTGGCCCCTGCCACCGCTTGTTCCTGAACGAAATTAACAGCCGCCAGGGGCACGACTAGGGCACGACTAGGGCACGTCCATCACCCACCCACCGCACCCACTGCATTCCTTGGCCCCCCGGCCTCCACCCACTGCCTGCGGCCTTCATATACCGCCCCTCCCTCCGCTCCTCGATTGCTTTTTTCTTCTTCTCTACCCCAAAGGCACCAGTCTTCTACACTCGCTACCCACTTGTCTTCGGACGTCACATTCTTTGAACCATCCAGTCACTCTTTCCTGGATTTCAATCTATATTCTTCGCCTGCTAATCGGTTCCCCGACCCGTCTTTTCGTCTTATCCATACCCACTTCATTGTTTAAGAGCAAGGAACTTTTTAGAATACCGCAATCATGATGAAGCTTACCGTCGCTTTCTTGGCCGCCCTCGCCGCTGCCGACGCTGCCGAGGCCCGCAGCCAGCGCTTTGCCCGCCGCCAGCAATACGGCTCCTACGGCTCCTACCCTTCTGTTCCTCAGAACCAGGCCGGCTACAACGCCACCACTCCTGCCTCCAGCTCCCCAGTCCCCGTTGTTCCCGAGGCTGCCACCAGCGCTTCCCCAAGCCCATCTGCCCCCGCTGGCGGTGAGTACGGCGCTGGTTACCCTGCTGTTACTCCTACCCCCGCTGTCCCCGAGGCTGCCTCTTCCAGCCCCGTTGGTGGTCAGTACGGTGCTGGCAAGCCCTCCACTCCAGCTGTCCCTGAGGCTGCCACCAGCTCTACTCCTGCTGCTTCCTACCCCGCCGGTGGTCAGTACGGTGCTGGCAACCCTTCCACCCCCGCTGTTCCTGAGGCTGCCACCAGCTCCGCCCCCGCTGCCTCCTACCCTGCTGGCGGCAACTATGGCACTGGCAAGCCTTCCACTCCCGTAGTCCCAGAGGCCGCTACCTCATCTACTCCCGCTGCCTCCTACCCCGCTGGCGGCAACTACGGAACTGGCAAGCCCTCGGTCCCTGTTGTCCCAGAGGCCGCTTCCAGCACTGGCTACCCCATCTACCCCACCGGAACTGGCTCTTACCCAGCCTCTTCCACCCCCGTCAGCGACCTGGTCACCAGCACCATCTACAGCACCCAGATCTTCACCAAGACTGCCTGCCCTTCCACCGTCACTGACTGCCCTGCCAAGTCTACTTCGCTCGTCACCAGCGTTGTCCCCGTTGGCACCACCGTCTGCCCCCAGAGCGAGGTCCCCCAGGCCACTCCTACTGCTGTCACCAGCACTTACCCCGTCTCTGAGGTGACCTCCGTCTACACCGAGACCCTCGTCTACACCATCGGTGTCGGCACCACTGCCCGCCCCGTCACCACCGAGATCACCACCACCTCGACCTCCACTCAGTACAGCACCGTTGTTGTCACTGTTCCCGGCTCCAAGCCCACCCCTGAGGTTCCCTCTGACCAGACCAAGCCCTCTGGCCCAGCCGGTGGTCAGGGTTACCCCACTGGCCCAGCTGGCGGTAACAGCTACCCCACTGGTCCCGGTGGTGACAAGGACATCACCAGCACCATCAGCTCCACCTCCACCTCCACCAAGTACATCACCATCAAGCCCACTCCCTCTAGCGGTGTCCCAGTCGGCTCCGACTCCTACCCCACTGGCCCTGCTGGTGGTGTGGCCAAGCCCTCTCCTTCTACTCCTGCCGGTGAGGAGGGTGATGAGTGCGCTCCCGTTACCGTTACCGTAACTGCCAAGGAGACCATCACTGTTACCGCTGGTGGCAACTACCCCGTTGCTACCCCCGACTCTGAGAAGCCCACCTACCCTGCCGAGACCCCCAAGGTCCCCGCTGACAAGACCTCTGGCCTGCCATCCCACCCCACTGCTCCTTACGGAAACGGTACCCTGCCCTACGTCCCCGTTGGCACTGGCCCCGCTCCCGTCCCCAGCAGCGCCACCTCTTCTCTTCCCAGCTTCTCTTTCGTCTCTGAGAACGCCAAGCCCACTCCCAGCACTCCCGCTGCTGCCTCTTCCGCTCCCGCCTACCCCGTCGGTGGTAACTATGGTGCTCAGCCCTCTCCTTCCGTCCCTGCTGCCGCTGAGTCCTCGCCTGTCTACCCTGTAGGCGGTAACTACGGTGCCGGCAAGCCTTCCACCCCCGTTGTCCCTGAGGCCAGCGCCACCCCCAGCCCTTCCGCTCCTGCTGGTGGTGAGTACCCCGCTGGTGGCCAGTACGGTGCCGGCAAGCCTTCCACCCCCGCTGTCCCTGAGGCTGCTACCAGCTCCTCTGCCCCCGCTGGCGGTGCCTACGGTGCCGGCTACCCTGCTGCTACCCCTACCCCCGCTGTCCCTGAGCCAGCCACCTCCAGCCCTGCTGGCGGCAACTACGGCAGCGGCAGCTACGGAAGCGGTAGCTACGGTACCTACTAAGCGCTGAAGCTCTCATCGTAGAGTAGCCTCGCGTTTTGTTTGCATCACATGTGTATAGGGTCACTTGGCCCATTTTCTTGCCTGTCCACTGAGCCCATTGGGCCAAGTCTCCTCAGGCAAGGGCCAGACGCGATTGAAGTGGGTTACAATTGAGGTTGGGACAAAACACGCACAGAAGTGTAGGTTCCCAGAGCAGTTTTTTGTTGTATTACATCGACAATATATCCCTTCCTGTTTTTGATACAATCTCTATCCCACTCTCCTCGCATCTTACTCGTGTTTGTCGCGCTTGGGTCTCTGGGCGCAAAGAATGGGCGATGAGCGACATGTCTCATGACTTCTTGTTCCGCACCAAGCTCTTTTTCCTATGTTTGTTGTACCTTGGACCTCCTTGTTTTGAAAAGACCATCGGGGATGGCGGTTTACTTGCATTTATTCAGTCTAGCATCTTTCTTCGATTTTTTTTGAAATCATGTTTTTTTACTCCATCTTTTCCTCTCTTCTCTTCAACCCTTTTACATGAAGTGAACACTTTATTCTTCTGATCCGCCGTTGACTCCATGTCACGTGACGTTTACTAATCCCATTCCATCGATCCGATATAACACGACTTTACTAACAGCTAATCCCATTGCGTCACATGGCCGAAACAAAGGCGCCCCGCCGCCACTGCCACTTGCTCATTTTACGCCATGCAACTTCCAATCCAATGACGTTGACAAACCGGGTGGGGCTGTCCATCCCATTTTCTTTGCCCCCCCCTCCCGACCGATGCAACCTTGTTCCCTAATCTCCCTGCTCTGCCGTGCCCTTGCCCTTGTTCGTTGTACCTGCATATCATCCTTGTCCGTGACATTTCCGTGGCTCGTGCGAAGGACAGCGTGCAGGGGTCATGCTTGTTGGGGGGGTTTTCTGTTGTACTCCGTTGGTTGTCCTTTTCTTCACTCGTACTCTGTCCATGACATCTTTTTTTTTGGGAGGGCGCGATTTTCCGGATCCCGAGATTGTACGTGTTGGTGTGCGTGTGCGGTGTGACATTCTTGTTTGATGATTTGATGGCAGTATTATTGCGACTAGTAGTGAGTAGTGGTAGTGTGCGTAACCGCGCGATTATGTCGGTGTGATATACCGGGATACAAAGCGCCTTGTTGTCGATTCTATTAGTCCGATGGGGGGGAAAGGGGGGGGGGAGGGGAGTGGCCAATTCGTCGGGAACAATGTGATTTAATTTCTTTCACTATCGATAGTTTCAATGTTTCTCCCGCGCATGCGTGTGCGATGCGAATCTTCGCGCATTTCCCATTGGAATCGTCACATTTTCTTCATTTTTACTTACATCTCCCGATTGCACCGTGATTCTACTTGCCTACACGGTAAGGATGTTTGTATAATCGTCTTTACTGCTTACAACGTTTCGAAAAAGCGTTATGCGTAATCCCCCACCGTTTGGGGCGTTTTCTTCTCCCGCCTTCGTATCATGTTGCCAATACGAGTTTATGCTATACCCTTCTTTTTCTTTCCTTCTCTCTTGTATTAGTAGGAAATAGTAAACGGCGTTTCTGGCGCCGCTCCCGCTCCGCAGCGATGTGGTGGAAAGTTTATCGGGAGTGGTGAGGGGTCCTTGGTGTCAATGCGTTTGGGGCGCATGGTAAGTTATTATGCGCGGAAAGGGAAAGAAGAGGGTTTGGAGGGGATCCCCGTGCGTTTGTTCCCGCGTTGTTCTAGTAGGTGTGCGTACTTACACAGAGGGCAAGAAGGTTTGGGGCTTTGTTTCGACGACTAGGTATGGCGCAGGATGTGAGTATCACGGGATTGAGTAGTTTCTCTGTTTTCACTCTTTTCAGATGTCTAATATATTGAAAGAGAATATTATATGGGACGTATATGGGATGAACTGGATGATGACCACGCGATGCAAACTACCGATATCTTGTCGCCATATTTTGCTCGTTGGTCTGCTAGCGAGCGTCATTTCCGAGTAAGCACAAAGTTTGCGATGCCCATTTCCTACAATCAGATTTTGCGCGTTCGGCAACACCTTTTATTTTTACACTTTGACTATCATCTCGGGATTTGGTGGATACCCAGCGTGATGCGCTTTTTTATTTTGCACACTAAATAAGTAGATGGGCTAAGGATCTGCGAACATGTTTGGCGCGGGCTGACTCGTTCTTTTCCTTTTAAGCGGCGCGGATCTGGCGTGTTTTGAAGGGATCAGCTCATGGGTCATTGCTGGGTGTTGTGTTGAGTGCGCGTGGGCTATAAGAGTCATGGGCCGGAAATGTGGTGTTGAGACGCTTCAGTGGTGTGCATTGGTATCGTGAGATGGGTCAAGTAGTAGTAACGATTTTCTTTCTAACAAGTGCAACTATGTACTTGGCCAATTTACAGCACAACGATAGCAAGCCAACGCCGTGAAAAAAATACTCCAGCTTCTAAAACTCCATCGGGTATATCCACAACGCCAAAAATGCAATTCCCACCTGGATAACACAAAATGCACTCCCCCGACCTCAACATTAGACCTAGTAATAACGATAATAATGTTCACGTCGCCGTCGTCCGCCATAGTACGTCGAATAGTCTCTGTAACCAGGCAAGCCCAATTGAGAAGCGACATTGATGTAACCCTCTTCGTTCCTTTGCAATCCACTAGTATTTATATTGCCGACTTTGCTCGCCAACACGGCGTCTGTATCCCACTTAGCACGGCAGTACGGGCACGTCGCATTGTTTCTGGCTGCAGCCACCCAGTTCTGCATGCAAACCTTGTGTATATTGTTTCCACAGCTGGTCTTGCAGTACACAGTATCTTCCTTGGCATCAAGGTCGTCGTAGCAAATGGGACATTCGCCCTCTATGGGTTTGCGATTGCCGTCTTCGCCTTGCTTCTCGGTATCCGTGCCAGGAATGGGTGGCGCATTCCTCATGACTTCGCGCAACTCAGAGCTCACAAGCGCTAGCTGATATGCAATCTCTTCTCGCGCTTTCAATACTCTTAGCATGACGTATACAACGTGTTTGCATTGATTGCCTTTTCTGGCATGCGGGCAGTCGCATGAGGGTTTGAGTCCAATCGAGACCGTATACACATTGCCTGTCGAGCCTGCGATGAGAACCTTCTCCTCAGGCGCATCGTCGGTTCCGCAACGCTCGCGCGAGAGTACTGTCAAGCGCTGTGTAAGCGCCCGTTCTCTCACATCCAGGTAGCTCTGCGGCGCCCTTTTGCGAAATATCCTAGCCCGCTTCTCCTGAACAGGCGCGTCAGGGTCACGCTTGCTCTTCTTCGGAGGAGGTGCCCTCTTGGGCGAGTCTTGTGTAAGGTCGATTACTTCAATTCTGCGGCTACTAGATGCCGTGGGCGCATATCGGTGCACAACTAGGGCGTCATTGTCGGCGTAGGTCGTGAAATTGCGCTTGCGCGTCGCTGGTGTCGACGGATGAATCGGGTACGGCATTGCGCTCCTCGGAGTCCTCGGTATATGTTCGGGAAGGAAAAGCCCTACAATTGGGAAATGAGGGTTGGAAAGAGGGGTTATGAATTGGCTATTGAGAGCAGCTTCCAGGGAAGATGTGCGTTAGGGAGTAATGGCATCGATGAAGCTGACCCTCGAGTCGCCATTGCTCCACGAAGACACGTGATGACGTCGGTGGTTCCACATCGAATATTCCACTCCACACTTTTAAGGCATACGCAACCCCGTTCAAATCGCATTCAAAATCCCCTCGGATACAGCATCGAATAGGATTGACAAACAACGTTAGAACAGACCTGCTCCAGCTCAGCTGTCCTACGCCTATGACACTATGCACACAATATGGGAGCGAATGCATGTTCTTTGGAACTGACAGTGTCATATTTCACACTTTAATTCGGGCAAGCAGATGCATTCTGTTCCTCGATATGCGAATATGAAAGCTGTGTAAATTATGTGATCTCGCTGTGGTTACGTAGATACCATTGTCAGCAGCAAGTGTGAGCAGTTACACACAGTAAAGGGTCCTGATTTACAGTTGGTCTCGTGGCTCCTTGTCGTTGATAATTACCACTCAAAATACACGGTATAACTAATAGTGGTTACCCATGCCCCTTATATTGATAGCTTTATCTTTATACCTCAGCGTTTCCACGGTACACCACAAACACCCTTGACCTAATGGGTTCTACATATTACGAAATTCTAATGGTATGCTTGGTTGACCCATTCTAATGTTGGACGCCAACGTCATGTCCTGTCGTCCTCATGGAAACCAGAACTACATGTTCCGGTACCGGCGCGATCATGTGCCTCTGAAGACTCCATATCTTCGACCTGAGTTAGCATCAAAGGGCAGATAGCGAGTCTTGTAATCACCATTCTCATGTACAAAGCAAGGACTTTTGGTACGAATCTCTATTTTACTTTCCAATTCCACACCGCACGCAGTCGCGAATCTTCTCTCGTCGATAATGGCTAAGCTTAAAGTGTCGGCTTCGGCTCATCGTCTCTCCCTCAACCGAACAGCAGCTCAGACTGTCAAACAAACCACTGTGGTTCAAGAGCATGCCTTGCCTGAACCATTGTTGCCACCACCGGATATCGAAAGACACAGCGTGCCAGCTGGAGAGAACGACGTTTTCGGTAATGAAGAAGGTGCCGAAATCCAGTACAAGACATGTTCGTGGTGGTAAGTATTCAAGCTCTTCTCAACCCATACGAAACCTCAAGTGACACGTCGGTTTGAAGTTACTCAACACGGCTTGACATGCACTCCTTCATTCCACAACATCCTGCTGACGTGAACGTTTAGGAACACGGGCATCCGTAAGCTACAACTCCCTCCGAATTACCTACCCCGCTCTGACAGTTTCAAGTAATGCTGGCCGAAAATGTTTCCCTCGGTGTCCTTGCGCTTCCTCAAGCCCTAGCGATCCTAGGTATCGTCCCAGGCATGCTCTGCATATGCTTGCTGGGGGTCATCGCTACATACACGGGATACCTAATTGGCGAGTTCAAACTGGCTCACCCATGTGTGCAATCGTATGCCGACTGCGGGCAACTGATGAGTGGGCCCATCGCCCGTGAAGTGATTGCTGTTGGGCAAATTCTGGTGTTGATATTCATAATGGGCGCGCATATCCTTACGTTCGCGGTTGCCATGAATGCAATGACTGACCACGGGGCTTGCACAATCATCTTCAGTGTGATTGGACTGGTTGTTTCTTTCCTGCTCGGGCTACCGAGGACGTTCAAGAACATTAGCTACTTCAGCATTTTTTGTGAGTCAAGGTGTTGATATCGTGTCGCCTGTCCTGCTTACCACGCTATAGCTTGTGTTTCGGTAATCGTAGGTGTCACAATAACCATGATCGCCATCAGCATCCAAAAGCCAGACATGAACAACATGGTGGCCATACGACCTAATGTACCACTGGTTAAAGGCCTGGCCCCGGTAATGAACATTGTGCTGGCCTACAGTAAGTACATCAATCCTGCTTTATGACGCGCATCGTCACTGACGCACTGTAGCTGGACATGTCGCCTTCTTCTCCTTTGCATCCGAACTCAAGGACCCGCGCGACTTCCGCAAAGCTCTCCTTTTCGAGCAAGGAATTGCAGTGACATTCTATCTCCTCATCTCAGCGGTCATATACTACTACGCTGGCCCCCTCGTGTCCTCGCCCGCCTTGGGTTCTGCGTCACCTTTGGTCAGCAAGATTTGTTTTGGCATAGCACTCCCGACCATTATTATTGCCGGAGTTGTCAATGGCTCGGTAGCTACTAAATATGTCTACCTGCGTGTTTGGAAGGGCACAAATGAAGTGCATACCAACAGCTGGAGAAGCCTGGGTAGTTGGTGGGGGATTTGCTCTGGGGCGTGGTTAGCAAGTTGGGTTTTGGCTGAGGCGATTCCAAACTTCAATTTGCTGCTGGGTTTGATCGGCGCGCTCTTCGGGAGCTGGTTCAGCTGTAAGTTCCTTGTGAAACTTTCTTTTGCGAGCGACGATGTGTACTCGGCCAGTGGTCTGACACGCACAGATGCTTTTCCTCCACTACTGTGGCTGTGGCACAATAAAGTCAATGGAAGACTATTCTCATCGAAGAAGCAGACGGTCTTTACTATCTTGAACTTCTCGATAGTGTTGTTGGGGATGGCCATTGTAAGTGATTTTTCTCTCTGCTGGTCGAAGCGGCTTGGCTGACCCTGTGTTGCAGTTTGGCCTGGGCATGTGGTCGTCTGGGTGGGCCTTGCATAATGGTTCCGGCGGCAAGGTGTTTTCTTGCGAGAATAATTGGCATCCCGTCAGTTGGGTAGCGGGAGGCACTGACGACGGCTGACCGTGTTGGTTGGTATTCGGAGTTGGAGAGGTAGGGCGCTTCTCCTTTGGAACAGGGTCGGCCAAGACGCAGTCCTACCATGTAACTATTCTGGACGGCACGTATACACAATGGTAACAGTCGCGCGAGTCAAGTATGCATGCGCGGAATGGTGTCAACATGTCAAGGTCCAATGCATTGATACTGAAGTGGTGGTGGGAACGGGGAGCCGCGCGATGACGCGACCGGGGACATGCTTCCTGCGGTGCGTTACAGTGCAGCGGCGTGCACCACGACTCCTCACCTTACCAGCCAATAATAAGCGGCTCCCTACCCCAGCGCCCGTCCGAAATAAGCTCTTTCCGGAGGACAGACGCAGGCTCATGTAATCTGGCTAATGTCAATATGGACGGGAGCGCCAAGTGAGGAGGCTGGACGACCTGGCCTTGGGCGTCAGATCACCATGGGACACACCTCCTTGCTCTGCTGCTGATAAGCACTTACTGCTTCACAGCGACCACTCTGGACTGCGGATCGCGCCATTGTTGATTCTGCGACGGTGGTACTGCAGGTTGCTTGTTCGTACACATAGCCTTTAGCAATTGTCCTACCTTGACTCCCACCTCCTCTATCACTCATCCCCGAGCTTTCCGCTACCCAGCTCTTCCCCTAATCGCATTCAACGCCCCCTCGCGACATCAACGCGACCGCGACCCGCCTTTTCCCCAACATGCCAGTCGAGCTCCGGAAGCGCAAGGCCGCGGCCCCAGTGCCAGCACCACCTGCAAAGAAAAAGGCACCCGCAAAGGCCAAGAAAGCCGACAGCGAGAAGACTGTTGTCGACAAGGTCCAAGACGCGGTCGTTGAAAAGGTCGAAGCTGTCAAGGAAGCTGTCGTAAGCAAGACCAACGGTGCCTCGACTGCTAAATCCAGCGGCGCGCCCAAAGTTGGCGACACAGTTGACCTCGCCTCATTCGGCGGCGAAATCGAAACCAACGATGGCACCAAGACGTCGCTCGCGAAGCTCGTAGAAGAAAGCAAGGCCGGCGTAGTCCTGTTTACGTACCCCAAAGCCTCGACTCCGGGATGTAAGTCGCGTCTCCCGCATCCCCCCTTGCATTTGTATCCCTTTATACTCACATCACTGTTTCTTCGACATAGGCACAACCCAAGTCTGTCTCTTCCGCGACTCCTACACGCCCCTAACCGCAACCGGCCTCTCCATCTACGGTCTCTCATCCGACAGCCCCAAGGCAAACACCACCTTCAAGACCAAGCAGAAGCTGCCGTACTCGCTTCTGTGTGACCCCGCGCAGACCCTTATTTCGGCCATTGGATTTAAGAAGGCGCCAAAGGGGACGACCCGCGGTGTTTTCGTCGTTGATAAGCAGGGTAAGGTGTTGGCAGCTGAGCCTGGTGGACCCGCGGCCACGGTCGAAGTTGTGAAGAAACTCGTGGGCGACGCGGAGAAGGTGCCAGCGAAAGAGGAAGTCGAGGCAAAAGAGAAGGAGGAGGACAAGAAGGTTGCGGACACGGCAGGCGAGGTTGCGGATTCGGCGGCTAAGGTTGATGCACCCGCTGCTGCTTGAGGAATTCAGTGCGATGTGAGACGGTTTCCCGGGTAATTGGAAGATTTCTAGTTGAGTGAAAGTGTGTTTTGTTGGTGTGGGCGTGTTTTTTCTTTTAGCTGGAATAATGGATATTTGAGATTTGTGATACACGTGCTGGAAGAATGTGTGAGTACGTTTGCTACTGTTGTTTTCTGGTATTTGTAACCTGATAACCTAGCTACGTCCTTGGCTCCCGTTTTTTGGGGGGTTTTCTTTCCACATTCATAAGTAGCCTTTGTATTCATTGAGCTGCCTCGTTCGCTACATGTCGAAGATACTATGTAACTCTTGTTTTGTTAAAAGATGAAGTGTTCGCACGTGGTTTTGTAAATTACGGATGCGGCGTCCAGAGTATGTACTCGGTAGGGTTAGTGGATAGCTACCCCTACAAGTACTTTTAAATAAGCACTAGTTTCTTTTACTCCAAAGTGCGAGCTTTGAGTATATGCGTGACAAGAAAAAAATTGCTGATTTTGAGAAAACACTCTTCGACGAAGAATGAGGCTCGAGACATGATCATGACATGTTGTACGAAGCATCTGTCAAATGACGTACTACGTCCCATAGGGGCCAAGTGAACGCGTGGGTATCCTTGTGGCCACTGTCTACACTGCGCCTCAAGGCACTGGTAGCGGCATACGAATGTGCAGCACACTTACTGCACACCATGATAAATCGACTTGAGCCTCAGGATCGTATCGCCGGTTGCGTAACCTACTACCAAGCCACCACGTCTCTGCGCCATGGAGAAATTTCCTTTGTATTGGTCACTTCAGGCACAAGATATCGTCATGGGACTTTACTTTGACAAACGGAAGGAGCGGCTTCACTGCTTTCTGCCTTATCGTTCTGGCGCTTGTACTAAAAGGACGTTCAGGCAAATGAATTCAAGTTGGGCTGTGTCTGCTTGTACTCAGCTATAATACGCCAAGACAAAATATCATTCGCACACATAGTAGTCACATTCTTGGATACAATGCTACCCATACCCCCCATTATATCTCAGCCAGGTGTCTACCAGAGACTATTTCCCTAAATGGCAGTCCTCAAACCGTGGTGGTGGCGACGACGACGGAATCAGTGCCCCGTGAGCCATGCGGCGGAGCATGCTACTCGGGACGAATCATTATACACAGAAACTATCGTGTAATACTAGCTTTGCTCCATAGTGCCAAGGTCAAAGCGATACGATCGCAGCCCGCTAATACGCCTCGTGCATATATCCCGCTACCGGCGTCGTTGCACAGATATCAGGCAACCTGATTTGGTCCTCAAGCATCACTGAAGATTTGGCACAGCCTACCTCTCAGATACCGCTTTGCTAGACTGATATTCCCTAAGGCTACATCTGTTGTGATTCTCGCCTCTTTGCCTCCTCTCCCTCTTTGACCCATTTTTCTGGATGTTATTTAAGCGATTGCCACACCTGAATCTAGTAGTTTGTCCGAATACTATATTGCACTCAAGACCGATCCCCAACAGTGTGTACTTTTCTTTACTTTGTTTGACAAGCCACTAGGCCCAAGCTTACAAGCTTCCAAAGACAGGTGAAACTAACCAAACAACTTATCCATCCTCCCACATACCTCGAGTATTGTAAACAAGGTTAGAGTCATGATAAACCTCAGGGGCCTTCGTCGGCCCGTGTCCTTCTTCACCAAGACCAAAGATGCTCCAATCTCTCATAAAGTCTCTCCTATCTTCGCATCCCCCAAAAAGGGAGAAACATATAAGCAGATACTCGATACGACCTGGAGAAATAGAGAGGGGGAGTGTTGGTCTAAATCAAATAATGGAGCGGCTATGTTCGATACACAATGCGAGCACAACCTGGTCAGCACCAAGTTTCTCGAGGAAATTGGCTTCAAGTGGCAGCCGTCTACAGTCGATACCCAAATCACCCAGATGGACAATGCTAACATCGAATGTCTGGGTGAGGTCCATGGAAGATGGTACCCGGTCGGTGCGCCAAAGCGTCCATGGTACCTGGCTGTCGTCCCAAAGCGCCTACAAAAGGGCTTGAACTTTCGACCACGCTACGAATCCTCCACCTTCAAGATTGTTGATTTGGACACATTCGATCTCATCATTGGGCGCGACACCATCAACGAGCTTGGGCTGTTGCAGATAAATCGCAACTTCTTTGGTGGATTCCGTCCAAGCCCTATTCGCGTTGACTGTAAGTTTGTGAACTTGCACTGTGGACGCTTGATTGCTAACTTCGATATAGCAGATGATACGACGACCAAGAAGCAGCAGGAAGCAGATGAGCGCAGAAAGAAAGATCTAGAGGCTATGCGGAAGCGTGACGAGGAGAAGGTATGGCACTGTTGCGATTATACCAAGAAGATACATACTGACCCGGTTAGGCACTGGAGACCAAAGCCAATTAGCGATACCCAAATGTCGATTATCCAATCATCAAAGGAGTCACCGACTTTACTACACTGGGTCGCTATTGAAAGGAGATCTTTCAGTCGTTGTCAAAAGCAACAAACAGCATTCATGCTACGGGATATTGCAACAAATGGGGAGAGGGGAGAGGCGTAAGCGTCGGGATTGCTCTCATACGCTAGCTGAGGATACTCCATGGTGGAGGGGAGGGGGGCGAGCGCCATTTAACAAGCTGGCTGGTGAGCGATCAAAGGCGCTACCCCCGCCCACCTCGGGCTTGACGAGTGCATCCATGCAGCAGCCATTCCCCTCTGGTACGCTGCATGTGCCAATACGGATGGCGTTATCTGGACATGATCATTTGTGGGAGTTTGGATTTAGCCGGTTTCATTCTTGCATCGCATTTCAGCTCAAGAGCAGGGGGGAAGCGAGCGATTGAATTTAGCTACTGTAACATTATTGGTGTTGCACTGTCCATTTACATAGTAATACTAGTACACTTTATCACATTGTCTACATCACCATCCCCCTACACTTTTCTTCCATTACTAATCCTATCAATTCCCCTTAATTCGATCCGACCCTACAAAAACAACCTGGACAGCCGCAAACCTGAGCTTTCGTCAGAAAAACTATAATTATCAACAGTGGCATCTGAAAAAAAACTTACGCAGCAGTAATAGCGAAAATATCCGCTCTCCTCGCCCCCGTCAACGCCATCAAACAAATCGACACCAACACGTTGAAACCCGCAATAATGCCCAACCTAGCCGGCATGGAGTGAACGCAATACAGCACCACAATCGATGCAATCGGGATCAGCGAAGCAATAATACTGGTAATCCAGTATGTGACACGGTAGATCGTACTGTCTTCATATCCCACAACCCCGTGAACACGCGAGGGCTTCATGAAGCGCGTACAGCCGCATCGAAAGAGGTTGATGATTGTGCTTTCTGCTGCCCACGCAGAGAACGCATCTTTTTTCTCGCGTGGACATAGCGTAATGAGATCGGGTTTTTGAGTGTCACGGTACTTGGCGGAGCCCCAGATGGTTGCGTCATCGCCGGTTAGAGCCATGGAACCCATTTCGGGGGTTTGAAGGTAGTCTTGCATGTAGTGGAGGTCCCAGGAGCTGGGTTTGGGGTATTGGAGGATTGAGGCTTGTTGGATTAGGGCGTCATCTATCAGTATCAGTACAACACACTCTACTCATTGAGATATTTTGGAGCATACTGTATTCTTTAAGCACTCGCCTGATTCGCAAAACGAGTTCCTGCTGCTCTCCAGCATCGGTGCCTTCGGAATCCTTGAGCCAGAACCAGTTCAGTGCGTAGGGTGATCTCTTGTCGGATGGGTCGTTGGCATCAAGTTTCTGGCGCTCTCGCAGTACCCTCTCTAAGTACGCAAGTTCAGCTTGCATGTAGAGTAGGTTCTGGGCGTTCAGAGCACCGAATCTACGAAACATAGAGAGCTCGGGGAGTATCTCCATTTTCGCAGCTAACTTCGGGTACCCGACAACATACTCCTGTAACGGGTCATGTGATGTACTCATGATTTTGGCTTTATGTCAAGATATCAATGTCTTTGCGACGGCAGACTGGATTTCCATAGCGCCCATATATCTTAGATACAGCATGTAGCCTGCCACGGCACATCTGTCGTTAGTCCTGTGGGTCCTGCAGAATGACTGTCTTCTGCATTATACCCAATGGAGCTTCAGAATGAAGCCGCATGTGGCTGCCTTGTGAAGCAGGCTGAGAGTCCATCCAACAAGCCGCGAGGCACGTCGTACCTTATACAGAGCCGCCTGTGTAACAGTTGGCGATGGTATTTTGTGGCATCAGCAAGGCCATAATTCTCACACGTATAGAGGGACAGGTTCCGTGAGCGATCTGTACCAGACGTTGTCTATGCCTGTCTGTGTTGGTGATGCCTGACAGCACGTCGAGGCGCTGACTTTTGGGCTGTCTTGGAACCCCAAGCAGCTGTAAATCCCGGTGAAGCGAATCCGGAAATGGCTGTGTCCTGGTCCTGATGTAAGTCCATATGTATGTGAAGGTTTCATTGGGTGGCTGCAGATTGTCAGCTGCTACTTAGTAGTGCTACTACACTCGTGTTCCGGCGCTATGTAGCGATCGTCCGTCCCCCACCTGCAGCCTATACTAACTTGCCTCTCCCAGCCGCATCATTTAAAAAGTACGTCGCACAGCGCCCTTCTTTGACTCTTGAATTTCAAGACTGCCTAGTTGAAGGCAACAATATTCGCTCAATAGTGACTGATATCGCACATGGACTGCGCCCTCATGGCTAAGCCTTGTTGATGCACAATCGATGACCGCAAGCCACCCAGAGGACTCAGCCTTGTCACACATGTCACACGGCTGAGCCAGGCGTTAGTTGCCTTCTTCTGGACTATGATGCCACAATATCGACATTTATTCGCCCCCACTAATTATCATTTGGTAAGGGCACAGCCTCCAAGGCTTACACATTGGACGTGACCCACAACACAAGGGGGGTTGTAAGCGGCAAATGATGCATGGATCATGAGATGGACATAAGATCGGACAGTAGTGACTAGTCCTGCTTGCCTCACCAATCAGGTAAACTATTGGTCCCTTTAATAGGAGATGGAATCCTCCATTCCCGACTGTCACGAAGTCTCTCAGCTTTAACGAATGTCGAACTCAACATAACGATATCAACTATCACCACACCCACCATCTTATTTACACACTGTACGTGAACTGAGAAAAACCATGAATCTATGGACGCGCGAACTTCTTGGCCTAATATTATTTATAGTAGGTTAATGTCCCCTGTTTGGAACCACCATTGACACATTTCAGCGACGACTAGGATCGTATCAAGCGACTCGAATCGAAATACGCAGTCGGCATAAAAATGAGAGAGATACCTGGAATCGAGCTGTGCTCATATGCGACTCAGGAGTAGATTATAACATTATATCTCATCAACTCGTAACGGAGGTGCTGCAAGTGCCAATGCAGACGATAGACGAAAAAATGGATGCATACGTACACACGTATGGCCGTGGCGAAGAAGTCGTAGGATACGTGGATCTTACCTGGTGTTTTGAGAAAAATAATAAATGGATGCAAACTACACGGTTCTGGGTCACCTCGACGGGAAACCCTTGCTACGATGTGATCCTCGGGCGGAAGGATGCAGAGCAATGCGGTCTCATAAGACACAAATGGAGATGTTGGGTTGGGCAATCCGTGAGGTGTTTGAAAGGGCACTTTGCATATCATGGCAAGGCGTACTCGTCCTTGAGCTGAACACCTAGTTCACTTGAGCTAAACACTTGCGTTACTTAACCCAAACATAAAGATTTCCTTTTCTTTTTACGTTTCGCTTTATAATTCCTAGAACAATGTATTTTCTATTTTAGCTACTCGTCAATTCCCTTTGCCAACACTTAGTTTAGGAAGTCCCTTGGTGTGAGATTTGGGATTAATATCAGCGTGTACGGAAACACCTTGCCATCGACTGGCTCAATGTTTGCATGAGTGTATTTGCTGTAATAGAGTGATGACTCGATATTTCACAGAATTTCCATACCAATTGAAAACACCACCGAGAGGAGCAACGAGATGCTAGCGCTCAACTTGGATAGCATCCATTTCGATATTCCATTCCGGTATCTCACACATGTAGTGAGAAGGAGAAGTCCTCACGACATACGGTGCAGCGTTGGCCTTGGGGACAATATGCTGTACAGTATCACTAGGTCCAGATACACTTCCCTCTTTTTTGCTGCCCGAGCTCAACACCACACTCCTTCGCCGTCTCCAGAAGAAGAAGAAGAAGAAGAAGAAGAAGAAGAAGAAGAGAAAAAACAAAGTCGCGAGGACGGCAACAACAACGACACAAAGTAGAACAACCATAGCAATAATCGCCACTTTACCCATCGATATTCCAGCACCCCCTTTCTCCCCCATACTCCCCATCTCATCCTCCATACTTCCCCCATTCCAGCCAAGCCTCACCACGAATACCCCAGCCACCAACCTCCTCGTATATCTCACCAGCTATCTCCCCCATGTGTCTCGAATCCCCTCGGACAAGACCACAATCCCCCTTTCCCTCATCACCTTCAGTCTGAACCCGAAATCTAGATAGTGACAGACATCAAACACATGTGGGAATAAGAAAGTGGACGACGCCGAGGTTCTCTCGAGTGTTGTTGATTTGGGTAGCAATCTCTTCAAAAGTGTATGCAACGAAAAAGTAAAAGATAAAAATTCACCATGTAGGCAAAGGGTCAAAGGATGGAAATTATGTCCATCCTTTCATTCCCGTTATCATCATTCAACACAGCTTCGTTCGACCCACTTTCCCACGTTTTGGACATTTTAACGGTCGAGAGTTTAATGATTTTACTTTCTGGTTGCGGTTCGAAATGGGTGGACATGTGCGTTTTCATGTGTGAATATTGTTCCTGGGCGGTACATGGCAGGTTAGTTCTGTATGAGGCTAACAGATTCCATCGTTCAATGGGCAAGTGGGTGTGGTATTCTGCTGTGGACAGAAAAAAAGGACGCAAAAACGAGTTAGCCACAGCCACAAGAAAATTCATCGTTATTGTCCATCAAACTGCTTCGCAAATGATATAGCAATGTGTTCTTCATTTGTATTCTGACGTTTTGAATTTTTGTCTATGTATAAATGTTAAGGTGTTATGATTCTGCACAATGAATCAAGCCTTGTATCCAGCTTCGAACAGACCCTCCTTCAAGCTTTCAATCGCCTTGGTAATGTCTGGACGGTTGGGATCTGTTACGCTGACACCCATGTGGCCAAATCGAATGTACTTGGTGGCAATCTCCTTGTGCAGACCGCCGGCGAAGATGACACCCTTCTTCAGGAGGTTAGGGAGCACCTGTGGAGGTGTCATACCCTCGGGAAGGTAGATGGCAGTCATACCAGTAGCTTGGTTCTCGGGCTTGGAAGCCAATTGCTTGAGGCCCAGGTCTTCAACGGCCTTCTTGACCTTTTGTGATGCAGCCTTGTGGGCAGCCCAGTAGTCTTCAATGGGCCTCGCGAGGATTTGCTTAAGGGCAGTGTCAAGGGCGTGGATGAGTTGTGGTGAGGGGGTCGCAAAGTAGGACGGCTTCTTGGCTTCGTAGTTTTGCATAACTAGAATTGTGTTAGCACAATGCTGTCAGTAGTCAAGTGGACAATGGCTGCTTACTTGGTAGCCAGTTCTTCCATGAGCCAAAGTACGAAGTTGGCCGTGTCTTTCTTGCCTTGAATCTTTCGATTGCGCGACCAGACACCATCAGGATGCTCAAACCAGCTGGGCAGCCAATACCCTTTTGCGAAGCTGTGAGAACGGCATCGAGCTTCCATTCGTCGAAGCGGATCTCTTCAGAGCCGACACTGCAAACACCGTCTACTACGACCAGCGTCTCAGGGCTCACTCGGTGAACGAGTTCACTGAGTGCCTTGATCTCGCTCAACACACCAGTTGAAGTATCCACATGGGTGACAGTCAGGATCTTGTACTCCTTCTCTTTGAGCGCCGCTTCGACCTCGTCGAGTTGTGGCCGCTCGCCAATGGGCGCCTTGAGTTGTGTGGCCTTGACACCATATGTCTCGAAGCAGTCGGCAAACGAGTCGGCAAAGTAGCCAGTGTGTAGGACGAGAACCTCATCGCCGGGCTCGACCAGGTTGGCGGCGACCTGATCCCATCCGAGTGTGCCAGAGCCGGAGATGACAAAGGGTTGCGCAGCAGGGTCGGAGGAGACGAAGAGCTTGCGTAGGTTTCCTAGGACTTCGCTGAAGGTGTTTACAAAGGGCTGGCCGACATGCGACTCGCTAAATGTACTTAGTCTAGGACCTCATGGATATGTGACTGCCGCATACCTGTAATGACTCATGGAGTTGAGAACGGCATCGTCAAACTCAATAGGCCCAGGGATGAGCAAAGCGGGGTGTGCTGGTTGGCTCGACATGTTCTTTGGTGGTTCCGGCGTGGCTTCCTTGGTCTCCTTGACTTGGGGGTTGACTGGCTCAACTGGTGCTTTTGCTTCTGGCTTGTTGGATATTATGCGATTGCCGTGTTCGTCTTCGAGGCGAGTGGTGCGTTCAGTGGCAAAGGGAGTGTTCAATGCGAAGAAGGGCTTGGGATCTAAATGGCTGGAGACCTGGTTCAGACGGGAGGTCGCCCGCAAACGAGGTGACGACATGCTAAGGCGGGGTTGGAGACGGCTGTTCACGGCAAGGAGACGCAAGCGCGGGGTTGCAAACATCCGGTACTCGGAGACTTGCGCTGGGAGGAGCGCAGAAGGGGAGAAGGCGAAAAGCGGTACAACGTGTCGATTGGGGTAAAGATGCGGCCGGTTCGCGTGCTGCTCGGTGGTGCAGACGAGTCAGACACGAAGATTAATGTCGCTAACAGGTGCTTTGAGGAAATCTGGCGGCGCAATTGACCATCAGGGGGTCTTTCCTTCAAGTATTGCCTCTAAAAAAAACCAAACGTTCACCGAGGAGCCCCCATGCACGGATGTGCCCCTGGTCCCGGACATGGGCGCTATGAATCGTGGGGTGCCGCGTGTCGGGCGCAGTCGCGTGTAGGGGTGAAGCAGTCGCCGTCACGTGCAGAACCACTGGCGCGTGCTTCCACGCCTTACTCAGCCAGGATATTTGTTGTCAGCCGGCTCCACCCTTGTGCAGCACCAACACTGGGAGCATTTGAGCATTTCATCGCTGCAGACACGCTTGGATATACATACATACCTACACAACACCCGTTGGACCCAATTGGCCGTTGACGATGCGTGTGACTCGTGCGCGCGCCCAGCAGGGCCATGGTGAGGCTACCGACGCGACCGAGCGCGCGCCGTTGAATGAAATAACGTCCAACGCACCAGCCGAGCAACCCCGCGACGACGACGGAGAAGAATTGCTGCCTGCAAAGACTCCTGCAAAGACTCCCGCAAAGAAGAGCAAAGCAAAGGGCCGTGCAAAGAAAGGAAAAAAGACCAAGGCGGCTGAGGAAGAGGAGGAGCAAGAAGTCGAAGCTGCATCTGAAGACGTGCAAACAGCGCCTGAGCCCGTCGAGGCGCCCGCAAGCGCTGAAGATGGTACAACAGAGTCGCAGTCCCTCTCGAACATTCAGGATGAGCCTGTATCAGCTGCGGCCTCTGGCATCGATTCGTCAGCAAACCCTTCTGAAGATGCAGAAATCTCCAACAAGGTCCAACGACCAGTGACCCCAACTAAGCCCGTACGCCTGACTCGCCGCCAATTGGCCATGCAGGAAGAGGAAATGAAGAAGGCGCAACAAGCCGCTCCTGCAGCTCAGGAACCAGAAACCCAAGTTCCAGAGTCAACAGCAGATGTGCTCAAAGTCACAGAAGAAGCCCCACAAGTGTCAGAGCAGGTTGAAGAGCCAAAAGCACCACAAACTCAGAATGGAGATGTAAAGGAAGAGACGGTTATGGAGCCACAGGCTGTTGTTGACAAGGTCCAAGACGAGGCTGTAGTCGAGTCCGTAGCAGAACGTGAAATATCCAAAGAGGCCTTGCCAGATGTGCCACAGGTGGAAGAGCCTCAGACTCAGCCTCAAATCCCCGAGGCAGCGGCTGACACTCCCGTACCCTCCGTTGAACTCAGTCCAGAAACAGAACCGAAGTCGCTTGCAACCCAAAAGTCCAATGAAGATCTTATGGCCACTCTCAGGAGCCAGGCTTCAAGTCGACGGACGTCGCGTAGCCTCTCCAAATCTCCCATGCGTCTCGAGGAGTCTTTTGAAGCAATCGATGCGCTTGAGGAGGCTCTGGAGAACGTCACCTCAGTAGCCAGGATCGATCGATTGAATGAGGAGACATCGCCCGAGAGAGCGAAGGCCTCCAAGACCACCAGCACAGCAGGCACACGTCCAAAGTCGATGTATGCAACATCGACTACAGCTACAAAGTTATCAAGAGCCTCCAGTTCCGCTGCGCCGAAGAGTATGAAGCCGGTCAAGTCTTCATTGGCTCGCGCAACCAGTGTTCGTACTGCAACTAGCAAGGAAGTCAAGACAGCTCCTGCACCGACGACAGATTATCTCGCTGTAAAACGGCGACCGATCAGTGTATCGTTTCCTACTCCTGCGCCGCCAACAAAAGGGCGCGCTCCCACCAAGTCGACATTCCAGCTTTCAAGCAACGACGTAGTTGCAAAGCTGAAGGCGCAGAAAGAGGAGCGACTGAAGCGAGAAGCAGAAGGCACAGCACCAAAGGCACGGCCGATCAGCATGCCCCCTCCACCAAAGTCGACTAAACCGCTT